ATGATTTCTGGACAGGGTTGCCAGATAAAAATACTTGAACTAAAAAAGTATTTGTTGTTTATCCAAAATTCAAATTTAACTGGGGCTCTTGTGGTTTTGTTTGCCAAATCTGGCAACCTATTTTGGAGCCAATAATCCTAAGCAATGGAAAGGGCTGAAAGCAGTTTCTGAGGCGGGCCCATCCCTGGGAGCCAGAAGGATGGAAACCAGAGGAGGAGTCCAGAAGCAGAGTCTGCAGAAACACGAAAAGGAATTGCTATGATGGCACAGCAGCTTAAAACTCCACCTGCAGTGCCGGAGTTCCTTTTTGGAATTCCAGTTCTAATCCTGGCTGCTCCGCTTCTGATCCGGCTCCAGGTCAATCAATGCATCTGGGAAGACAGTGGAGGATGGTTCAGGTCCATGGCTTCAGCCCGCTTCAGCCTCCACTGTTGCTGCCATTTGGCAAGTGAACCAGCAGATGGAAGATCTCTTTCTGTCTCTCTTCTCTCCATAAAACTATCTTTTAAAGAAAATTATATATATATATACAGTGGAACCCCAGCTGAAAGTAACTATCTAGGTTGTACCTAGACAAGTGTCATATGGCTGGGACAAAAGCAGCCAGTGGGCATTCTGAATCTAGTTAATGCCAGGTTTGTGTTAATGATACCATTATGTGGCGTAGTTGCTTATTCTTTCTTTTTTCTTTTTTCTTTTTTTTTTTTTTAAGGATATTTGGGGAAGGCAAGGAGCACCAGCCATGACAGGCCACCCTGGCCCATAGGCAGGGATGGGGTGGTGGTGCAGGTGCCCCAGGGATGAGGGCTTAGGAAATGTGCTAGAGTAGGGATGGCTAAGACCATATTTGACAGGGGAGGAATGGCTGGGGTTTCCATGCACTGGCTCACTGTCCTCCCAGGTGGCAAGAGAGCTGAGATGGAGTGGTTTAGAGGGGAAACCAGAAAGCATGTCTGGATTAGGCCGAGGTACCTACCCAAATGGGAGAACTGCGTTGGCCTAAACAGGCGCATGCCAAAGCTGGGGCTGCGGGGCTTGCCTGGGTGGGCTGGGCTGCGATATCCACCTATGAATGTCAGAGAGGGGTTGGGTCACGTCAGGCTGGACCACAGCACCCACCAGAATGTGAGAGAACCGGATCTGGGGTTAGATTTTGTAGGGGACTTGTAGGCCCGCCTCTGTGGGACTGAACAACCCACCGGTTTGTGTGGAGAGCTGGGGGTGGTGACAGGAAGAGCCAGGTTGGGCCACAGAATTCACCTAACAGGAACCCACCTAACACTTGGAACTGGGGACTGAGAGGAGCCAGGCTACCTGCCAGCATACACAAAGGCTAGGACTGAAGGTGGACCATTTTTTTTGCATCTGTGATCCCAGGTAAGGCAATACTGCGTGCATACATGCATATCAGGGACAGACTGATAACTGACAGAGGGATATCGACGTCCTCTCAAGAACACAAATGTCAGGGATGGTATCATGGCACAGTGCATTAAGCTTCTGCCTACAACCCTGTATCAGAATGCACATTCAAGTTCTGGCTGTTCTGTCTCTGATCTTGCACCCTGACAATGTGCCTGGGAAAGCAGTGAAACATTGCCCAAGTACTTGGGCCCCTGCAGCCTAACATGGGAGATACGGATGGCACTCCTGACTCTGGCCTAGACTTGGCCCAGACTTGAGTATTGAGGTCATTTAGGGGGTGGACCAGCAGAGGAAAGATCTCTCTCTCTCTTTCTGTCTTTCTAACTGCCTTTCAAATACATACATTTTAAAACAGGGCTGGAGCAGTGGTTTAGTAAGCCTGTCTTCTGTGTGCAGAATGGGAACGCCATATGGACTCTGGTTTGAGTTCCAGCTACTTCACCTTAGATCCAGTTTCTTGCAGAACCATTACCTGTAAGATGGCTGTTGTGGCCTGGGAGGACATCAGAGAATGGCTCAAGTCCTAGGGCCCCTGCACCCACGTGGGAGACCTGGAGAAAATTCCAGGCTCCTGGCTTTAACACAGTCCAGCTTCATCTGTTGTGGCCATTTGGGGAGTGAACCAGCAGATGGGGATCTCTCTGTCTCTCCCTCTCTATAACTCTTGAAAAAAAAATTAAAAAGGTTTAAATGTTCACCCTAGTGAAGTCATAAGTCCAGTAATTGCTTGCACAACCCTGGATCGGGGTAGTTATCAGTGAATAGGCACCCCCACCACCAGTAGGCTGCTGGGGTCTCCTGCTCAGGCCGTTCACGAACCCAGGCACCTGCTGTGGTGCTGCCACTGCCTTTGGCCACCAGATGGCGATCTGGAGATATCCTCACAACGTGAGTTCCTGCGTCAGCCCTGCTGGCCTTCCTCTCTCCCATCCTCTCAGTTTCTTTCACTTTATTCTCCCTAGGGCATCGGGAGGGACTTCCTGGGGAGAGGAATCTGCAGGATCCTAACCGTCTGGGCTCTGCTTGGTCAGTCTGATGACGCACTGTGAGGCTGGCATAGGAAGACGTGGGAAGCTTTCAAAAACCAGCAGCCCCTGCTTCATTTCCCAGCCCCATCTCCTCCCCTCTCCCGCACAGACGCCCTTGGAGTACCCCGATGAGCCAGCGCCTGCTTCGGAAGTTTAGACCTTTTTGCTCCTGCCAACTGTTTGGCCTCCCTCTACCTGCCTGGCCTCCCCTCGCCCAGCCAGAGAGGGTCTGCCTGCCTCTCGCTGAATCTCTGTGCCTCCAGCAGTCAGCATGAGTGACCTCCCGAACCTCCAGGCCTTGCCCCTAGGCCCCCTCCCTTTCTCTGCCCCCACCCTAGGCCCCCAGCCCCTTGGAGCAGGGGGTTCACTTGTCTTAATCTCACCCTGGCACACAGTAGGATAGATGAGGCCCAGACAGTGAAGGCGGCAGAATAAGTAAGTGCACCTGCTATGTGTCTGAACCCCGAGGAATCAGGCATGCAGCACCTACACCACCGAGCTAGAGGAGACCAGGACAAGGAGACTCCTAGCTAGCCAAGGAGGCCACGAAAATGATGTAAAGGCAGGTTCAGGTTAAGACATAAAACCTGCCAAACAAGAAAAGACATGCACAGATCCGCGCAGCACCGGACGAGCCCTGGATGTGTACTGGGTCACAGGCTGCCTGCCCCCAGCCCTGCGGGAGGGAACTGCAGCTCAGACAGGTCTGGGCACCTGCGGGAAAGCGTCTTCCTTAGCCCACTGAAATCCCTGCAAACGTTCCCCATGACCTTCACCGCAAACATGCTTTGTCCTTCCCCAGAGCCTGGCTGGACCCAACAGCCCCCCTGACTCAGCCCCACTCCCCTCCCGGCTGTGGCTTAATGGGTTTCCGTGAGATGGCTGGGAATCCCCCAGGAGTGGGGTCAGGAAAGCAGAGATATGTCCCTGTTCGTCCCTCAGCCGTGTGAGTCCTCATGGTTGCGGGCCTCCCCTTCACACAAGCCCTAGCTGGTCGCTTGAGTCCAGATGCAACTCCCAGGACTTGGCTGCCAACAACCAGCCAGGGGAAACTGACGCTTGAGTCCCCCCCCCCCAAATGCTTTATAGCCGCTGGCTTCAGCCTCAAGGTGGGCGTGGGGCTGGGGCAGCCACCTGGGGAATCAAGGGCGGCCACCAGGTCCTTGCGGAGGCCATGCAAGCCCACTGCCCGCTGCCCTCCATCCTGAGCCACACTTCTGTGACAAGGTGTGGGGGAAGCAGGCCTCCTAGAAAGGGCTTGCAGGAGTGCTGGGGGAGGGAGGAGGCTGTTCCCCTGGGACCCCTACATAAACAGAAGCAAGGAGAAGAATTGGAGGAAGAGAGGGAGAGACACAGATGAAAGGGAGAGGAAGGTGTGGGAGAGGGAATCACGCTCAAGTCCCCGAGAGTGCAGGAGCGGAGGTCGGGGCTTCCCCAGTCAGATGGCGAGGACAATGGACGGCCAGACTGGAAGGGAAGGGGAGGTCTTACAACTGGGAGAGCCCACCAGCACCCTTGGACCCCACATGACCAGGGACTGCCCCAGGGCCCGTGCAAGAGGCAGTGGCAGCCCCAAATTGGGACACGTCGTGCAGACAACACCCACGCCCTCAAGAAGGTCACCGCCTGTGGCTCAGGGCCAGGCCAAGACTTTCAGTGCTTGAGTTCATGTAATCTTCCCAACTTCCTGTGCACTGGGCTACAGTTCTCATTCCCATCCTCACTAAGTGCAAGGTCATGGGGGTCAAGGAGGCCAAGTGACCCAGGCCCCGATGACGCAGCTGGATCCAAGCTGGGAGGTTCTGTCGTGAGGGTTATGCTGGGTGGTCAGAGTCGCCCGCCAGGGACAAAAAACGGGTGATGATGAGGTAGAGTGAAATTGAGAGGTGACCAGCCTGGGAGAAATCCAGAGTGGGCGACAAGATCAGCGGGGAATGATAGGAACAAGCAGAGGAAAGGAAGAGCGGAGACCCTGTCCAGACACGTAGCAAGCTCTCGCTCCCTCTGCTGCCACTTCACAGCGGTGTGGACAGCACCTTCCCTTCCGGCCTGTCCCTGGAGCCTGGCCGCATCCTGCTCCTCGGCGGCTGGCCACTTGGCTTTGCAGGAAATACTCTTTCTCTCATTGGCATTGAAACTCACAGCCCTCCCTTTTCCTGTAGGTGGGGTTTCCATAGGAAAAAGCTGCTTCTCTGTTGCCCCAGCCTAGCGACTGTTTGGAAGTCAGATCTGCACATCCTGCGCTACTGGGTCAAGTCCCTCTTGGACCGGCTCTTGTCCACTGTTGGCTGGGGTGGACACGATCAGTGCCTGGCAATTTTATGTCATCAATGCTTGGACCTCTCAGATCGCTTCTGATGAAGATGGCCTTGCCTGGGAATCCTGTTTGTCCCATTAGCATCTAAGTATGGGCCGACGATGGGGCCGCAAGGTCTGGGGGCAAGAGAACGTGGCCCATCAAGACATCCAGGAAACCCTGCAGGACTGGTTCAGACTTTAAAGAAATCTAGAGGGCTGTGAGCCAAGCTCACTCAGGCGGTAAGCACCATGCGACTTTTCTGGCTTCTGCTAGGGCTCTGGGGGCCGGAGAGTTACTTGTTTCTACCTGGGGATTGTCAGGAGGTAACCACTCTCACGGTGAAATACCAGGTAATGGAGGAAGTGCCATCAGGCACAGTGATAGGGACGCTGTCTCAGGAATTGGGCTGGGAGGATGGGCAGCAGCGAAGGACTGGACCTGCCTTTCAGGTCTTGCAGCTGCCTCAGGCGCTTCCCATTGAGGTGGACTCAGGGGACGGTTCACTCAGCACCGGAAGGCAACTGGATCGGGAGCAACTCTGTAGGCAGCGGGACCCCTGCCTGGTTTCCTTTGATGTGCTTGCCACTGGGGATTTAGCTCTGATCCACGTGGAGATCCAAGTGCTGGACATCAATGACCACCAGCCCCAGTTTCCCAAAGGCCAGCAGGAGCTGGAGATCTCTGAGAGTGCCGCCCTACACACGCGGATCCCCCTGGACAGAGCCCTTGACCCTGACACAGGCCCGAACACCCTGCACTCCTACACCCTGTCTCCCAGTGAGCACTTCGCCCTGGATGTCATTGTGGGGCCGGACAATACCAAGCACGCGGAGCTCGTGGTGGTGAAGGAGCTGGACAGGGAGGTGCACTCATTTTTTGATCTGACACTGACTGCCTATGACAGTGGGGACCCACCCAAGTCAGGCACTAGCTTGGTCAAAGTCAACGTCCTGGACTCTAATGACAACAGCCCGGTGTTTGCAGAGAGCTCCCTGGCGCTTGAGATCCGAGAAGATGCTGCCCCTGGCACTCTCCTGGTAAACCTGACTGCCACAGACCCTGACCAAGGGCCCAACGGGGAGGTGGAATTCTTCTTCAGCAAGCACGTACCTGCAGAGGTGCTAGACACCTTCAGTGTCGACGCCAAGACAGGTCAGGTGATTCTGCGTCAACCCCTAGACTATGAGAGGAACCCTGCCTATGAGGTTGATGTCCAGGCTAGGGACCTGGGTCCCAATCCCATTCCAGCCCATTGTAAGGTTCTCATCAAGGTTCTGGATGTCAACGACAATGCCCCAAGCATCCACATCACGTGGGCCTCCCAGCCACCCCTGGTGGCAGAAGATCTTCCCAAGGATAGTTTCATTGCACTTGTTATGGCAGAGGACTTGGACTCAGGAAACAATGGTCTGGTCCACTGTTGGCTGAACCAAGAGCTGGGGCACTTCCAGCTGAAAAGGACTAATGGCAACACGTACATGCTGCTGACCAATGCTACGCTAGACCGAGAGCAGTGGCCCCAATACAACCTCACAGTGTTAGCCCAAGACCAAGGTCCCCAGCCCTTGTCAGCCAGGAGACAGTTCAGCATCGAGATCAGTGATGCCAATGACAACCCTCCTGTGTTTGAGAAGAGCAGGTACGAAGTCTCCACTCGAGAAAACAACCTTCCCTCTCTTCACCTCATCACCGTCAAGGCTTACGACCAGGACTTGGGCATGAATGGGAAAATCACATACTGCATCCAAGACTCTCCAGTTTCTCACTTGGTGGCTATCGATCCAGACACGGGAGTGGTCACTGCACAGAAGTCGCTGGACTATGAGGAGATGGCTGACTTTGAGGTCCAGGTGATTGCGGAGGACAGGGGGCAACCGCGGCTTGCAGCCAGTGTCTCCGTATGGGTCAGCCTGCTGGATGCCAATGATAACACCCCACAGGTAATCTGGCCAGTGCTCAGTGCTGGGCGAGCCAGCCTCTCCGTACTGGTGAATGCCTCCACAGGTCACCTGCTGGTGCCTGTCGAGACTTCTGGAGGCTTGGGTACTTCCGTAGGTACCCAAATGCCGTTCCTGGCCACTCGTGGCTCCAAGCCATTCCTTTTGACAACCATTGTGGCAAAAGATGCAGACTCGGGGGCCAATGGAGAGCTCCTCTATGGCATTCGGAGGGGCAATGAAGCTGGGCTCTTCATGCTCAGCCCCCGCCTGGGCCAGCTGTTCATCAATGTCACCAACGCCAGCAGCCTCATCGGCAGCGAGTGGGAGCTGGAGATTGTGGTGGAGGACCGGGGCAGCCCTGCCTTGCACACGAGAGCCGTGCTGCAGGTCCTCTTCTTGAGCAGTGTGGACCACCTGAGGGACTCGGCCCACGAGCTGGGGGCCCTGAGTGTCTCAGTGCTCACAGTCATCTGTTTGGCTGTCCTGCTTGCTGCTTTTGGGTCAGGCTTGGCTCTGTTCATGTCCGTCTGCCGGACAGAAAAGAAAGACAGCAGGGCTTACAATTGCCGCGAGGCTGAATCCACCTACCGCCAGCAGCCCAAGAGGCCCCAGAAACACATACAGAAAACGGACATCCACCTAGTACCTGTGCTCAAGGGCCACGCCGAGGAACCTGATGAGGTTGGGCCATCCCACAGGGACGTAGGCAAAGAAGCTATGGTGGAAGCAGGCTGGGACCCTTGCCTGCAGACCCCCTGTCATCTCACCCCGACCCTGTACCGGACTCTGCGGAACCAAGGCAACCAGGGAGTGCTGGCTGAGAGCCCAGAGGTGCTACAGGATACTGTTAACCTCCTGTTCAACCATCCCCGGCAGAGGAATGCCTCCCGGGAGAACCTGTGCCTTCCTGAGCCCCAGCCTACCCCAGGCCAGTCACGTTCCAGGGCCTTCAAGGTCACAGGTAGCCCCACAGGAAGGCTGGCCAGAGACCAGGGCAGCCAGGAGGCCCCTGTGAGCCTGCCCGCTTCCTCTGCAACCTTGAGGCGGCAGCGGAACCTCAATGGCAAAGTGACACCTGAGAAAGAATCAGGACCACATCAGATCCTGCGGAGCCTGGTCAGGCTGTCGGTGGCTGCCTTCGCAGAGCGTAACCCAGTGGAGGAGCTCACTGTGGACTCTCCTCCTGTTCAGGTACCTTGGGCATAACAGTTCCTTCTCTGGTCACTCCTGCTTCCCCCCAGCAACCTCAGACTACCACCTCATCCCCTATGGCTGTCACATTCTGCACATTCATTCTTTGGGCTCACCTGACCCTTTATGATGCTCTGGGTAGCAATGGTTGAGGACATAACCCCAATGCCAACAGAAATTAGCTGTGTGATTCTGGAAAACGTACCATCTCTGAGCCTTAGTTTTCTGTACAATGGGAAGTATAGTTAAGACAGCATGCCTTCCAGAGTGGTCCAGAAGATCTGAGGAGTTAATACCCGTGAAGCACTTAACTCACCATCCCTGGCACAGAGCTGGAGGTTAAGAGTCTGAGCTTTGGAGCAGGGTTGCCTGAGTTCAAATCCTGGCTCTACCTCTTGCTAGCTCTGAACTGCAGGGAAGTTGCGCAACTTCCCCATTGGAGATGTCAGTGTGAGCAGCACCCATCTCCCAAGTATGCTTGAAGAGTGAGTTACTAATGTCATGCCCGTATGGCTGTGCTTGGCATGTCATCAATGTTTGTGCCTGGACAGTAGTGTTCAGTAGGGAAATATTAGAACTTCTGTAAGGTGCTTGGCCTCTCCATTCTACACCTGCCCTCCTCTCATCCAGGCAACATCCCTGTAAAGCAAGCCAGCCTGAGCTTCCTTGCTTCTGAGCTCAAAAGCTACATTCACCTTGCCAGAGACCCTGGGGATTACTGCTGGGCTGCAGGAGCAGGCAGTAAAAGCAACCCAAGAACTATGGGGTTCAGCTGATCCAGGTTCAAATTTCAACACAGGCACTTAGGGGGTGGGCATGCCTGGACAAGTCCTTTACCACTGAGTGTCATTTACTTGTCTGTTACATGGAGATTATGAGACCAAATTTCGCCCAGGTCTCCCTCCCCAGGGATGTGAGGATTAAGTGGGTTGAATCAGGGTAAGGTGCATAGAACACCCAGGATCCACGGGACATGGAGGCAAGCCTGATCTCACACCCATCTGTGGCTCTGTGAACCCCAGATGACTCTCCCGGTGCCAGGCTCTTCATGCAGGGCACGCTCCTGTTTGGCCAAGCCATCAGCTGGGGTTTCCTGTGCAACAGGGACACAACTTCCTTTCCCCACCCCCTTCTCAGGAAGCCACCTGGAGGTGGCTGGAGCTGGGTTTTTTTTTTTTAGGAGGGCTGTCCTGGGCTCAGAAACATTCAAAGACATTTGTTCAGCTGACACTGTTTTGGATGAGCCCTTTGTGCCCAGCACTGAGCTGGTTGCTGTGGGTAGCCCTGCAGGGGGATGGGAAAAATGGCCATTTGGGGTGTACAAAAGGTAAGATGCCTGGCACCCATGAATCCCCATCAATACAGCACCACAGTGCAGTCAGATCTGAGTTCAGATTCTAGCCTTGAATCAAACTGCTGGGTGATGCCTGTGAGCTCCAGTTTGTAATTCTGCACAATGGGTATAATGAAATCTCTTCCCTGAATATGGTAGGAGTACATAAAACTGTTTACAACCAGACAGTTATAAAGTTTATCTTGGGATCTGGTAGCAAAGTAATTTGTATGTTTTGGCTCATTTGAACTAGCACATGACTGTAATCTCCTTATTATTCACTTAAAATATTTATTTATTTATTTATTCATTCATCTATTCATTCATTAATTCTACCCATTAGTTACAGTTCAAATACCTGCATCAGCAAGAGCTAGGCCAGGCTAAAACCAGCAGCCAGGAACACCATCCGGGTCTCCCACTTAAGCCATCATCTGCTGCTCCCAGAGCTATTTGTAGCAAGCTGGATTAGGAGTGCTGGACTCAAACCAGGAACTCTACTGTGAGATTCAGGCATCACAAGCAGTGGCTTATCCCATTGTGCCACAATGCCTACCCGTTATTTTTTAATTGAGATTCAGCAAGCTTGAGCAGTTGCTCAAAGCCACACGGATGGGACTTGGGACAGGGACAGATTCAGGGTTTGGACTTGGGTGTGACTGGACTTCTCAGCCTGTATTTTAACTGTGAAGTAACCCTAGACAATAAGACACAGTCTAGGGATTGACAGACAGGGAAGGTCCCTGAAGCCTCAGCTGTTCTTTGGGCAAAGCCCTTAGAAGGACTCTAGGCCTGAGCTGGGAGATGGGGTGTGCCGCAAGGCAGGCAGTGAGATCCTGGCCCTTCCCAGGCCTGGTGATGGCCCCTGCCTGGTCACCTGCTCTTCCAGCTCTCCCCTGAGGCTGGCACATCTGGGGCTCCCCAGGGAGGAGTGAGTGGGCCCAGGATGGGGAAGTAGTGCTTACAGATGTAACAAGCCTAACTCCCAGTGTTCCTAGGGACTTTGATTTTTTTCAAAATGTCTCACTAATTCCCACAGTGCAGAGACTGACAGCTCACTCTAGTGCCAAGAAAACCGATAGGTAAGGAGGTCAGCAAACCTGCTTGACATTCACAAGCCAGAAATGACCTTGAGCTAGGTCTCAGCCTCCCAAGACTTGGTCTGTTCCTTCTCCCTCCCAGACGCTGGGGTCTGGCCCTGGCCTCTCGCACACCCTCTGGTGCATCCTCCAGCTTTTCTGAAACTGCCTACCCTCTGCGCTTTCAGTTCACAGTGCCCAAAGCCCCTTTCACCCTTGTCCAGACCCTCACTCTGTTTCACCTGACAAAGTCTTGTGCAGCCTGTGGGTCTCAGGAGAGGTGTCTGGCATACAGTAGGAGCTCAATAGCTTCCATAAGTGTATAAACTTCCCTTCTACCAACCATGCCACTTCCTTCCTACCCCAAGTTGGCCTGGGAACCCTCCTCCTCACCCATGGACCCTTACCCTTTCCCAACACCCAGATCCAGACACTGTAGTGACCACTCCCCTGTCTTCCAGGCAGACTGAGCTTGCTGGGGCCAGCAATAGGGCTCTTTCTTACTACCATAGCAAGCACTGGCCTGCTGCAAACAAGCACTTATTGAATACTTATTGACTGAAAGTAAGCATGAATAAGTAAATGATTCCATAACATCATTTTGTCTTTTCTAAGACATAGTCTGCTATCTGGTCCACAAAAATAGGCTGAGTATCTGAATTCTGTTTAAGGAGACAGTAACGATGAAAGACAGGCATTTGTGTCAGTGACTAAGTCCCTGGTACGGATGTCTGTATTGTACCAGCTCCACTCCCGATCCAGCTTCCTGATAATGAACATCTTAGGAGGCAGCAGGTAGTGGCCCTGGAACTTGAGTCCCGGCTACCCGCAAGAGAGACTGGTATTAACCACCAGGCTCCCAGCTTCAGCCTGACCCGCTAAGCTACTGCAGGAATTTGGTGAATGAAACAGCAGATGGAAGCTATCTCTTTGTATGCCTCCACCCCCTGGTTTCAAATGTAATGAAAATAAACAAGAAAACATTCTTTAAAGTCAGAATGAATTTCCAGCCAGGAAATGCCTTTTCCACTCCAGCAGCCCTCCCTCCTTCCCCTGTCCAGGCCACTAGGAGCGGGTCACTTGGGGGTGGGGGTGGTTGATAAACATGAGGGGGAAGGCCTAGTAGGATCCCTACGCTCTCCCTCAGATTCACTGGTTCTGGGCAGACATGACGAATTAGGGAACCCCCAGCCAGATCCCCATCTCCGTCACGCAGCACCCCCCCATCTGATCCCACAAACATCTGAAGCCAGAGGAAAGACTATAAAAAGAAAGCACCGGCATTGAGGGAAACATCCGGCGAGGAAGTGTGCTGGGTCGGAATTGTGTGGAGTCAACAGATTTTTCCTGTCTTGTAGCAAATCTCCCAGCTGCTGTCCTTGCTGCATCAGGGCCAATTCCAGCCCAAACCAAATCATCGGGGAAATAAGTACTTGGCCAAACCCGGCGGTGGCGGCAGCAACGGCTTCGGCAGGTAAGCAGCACACAGAGCTCAGTGCCCCCAAACCCCTCAGCTCAGACTGTTCTCCGTGCCCAGCTCACGGAGACTGCAGGAGGATGAACACATCCTAGACGCTGGTCCCCTGGGAGAGGACAGCAGCCACCCCCACTCTTGGTCTGGGAGCCACTCTATTTATAGTGCCATACTGCCAAGGGCCCAGAGTCACAAGGGAAATGACTTCATCCCTGAGGCTCTGTGTCTCTGGCCCCCTGATTCCAGAGGTGCTATAAATCAGCTCTGACGTTCACCTTTCCCTCTCCACACCCACAAACCTGAGACCATGTCTCCCTAGCCAGGAGCTGCGGGACATGCAGTTGGGTCCCTTTGGGAAATCCCAGGATGGATGCCACCTCAAGAGGGCATCTGGGGCTCCTCCTCTCTTGTGCATGTGGTGGAATGGGACTGTCTTCTGAACCACGAGGGTTAGTGAATAAAGACTCCTGAGCTCCCCGCCCCCCCACCAAAAAAAAAAAAAAAAGGAAAAAAATGGGTGGGGGGGCATCTAAGCAGTCTGCCTCCCAGGTGGAGAAACTATGGTTGGAGCCATCCAGAGAGGCTGTGTAAATGGAAGCCGATCAGACCAGCTCCTAGGACTAACTTTCCCATCTGCAAAATGGAGGCCATTGTACATGTAGTGCACAATCAAGGCTAAGTCCTTCTCCCTTCAAGTGACTCTGCCCAAGGTTGTGGAGCAAGAGAGTGGCAGAGGGCAGCCAGGTCTTGAGGCTCCTCACTCCTGGACCAGAGCTCTTGCCCTCACAATTAGTAACTTCAGTTGTAAGGCTCATGACAGGTAGTACAGAGTAGCGTTGAGTCTTGTAGGGAGGGTCCAATTTTCCCTCTGAAGGTTCAGTATTTTGAATCTGCTGAGGAAAGCAGCAACAAATACATTTGATTGCAGCTTTATATGACACCAGAGCCTTTAGATGGAAGATGTAAAGACCCCAGGTGGACCATCTATCTTTCTGAGTAGACAAAGCTTTGATGGAACACGGACACTGTGTAGAACTATGATTGGACAGTAGAGTCTGAGCTGTTGGTAACAGATCAAGTGGGGAAGCCCAGCCAGGCTGTCCAGGTTCTTCCCAGCTTGCCCGGGCAATGCTCTTTTCTTGCAGGTGTAGAGCAGGATCTTACCTTCTGAATAGAGTATTTCTTTCTGACCAACTGTTACAAAGAAAAGCAGGAAGGACATTAGGGTCCTGCTTGTGGGTCTTAGGGCTGGCTCTGGGGAAAAGCGGTTCTGATTTGTACAAGGCCTTGGGGAAGAAGAATACTTGTTTTTATGCCTTGTCCCAGGACAGAAGGAGGAATGGAAGATAGGAGGTCAGGAAAAGGTCAGAGACTTTGCTCCTGAGGCTCATTCCTTTGGGTTTTGTGCTCTGAACCCCAGCAGTCCCCAGAGTCCCATTGGCCTTGAACTCATGCTTTCCCACTCAGGCTTTCTTACTTAGCAGGATGTGGTTGATGACAAGAGAGCTTCACCCCACTCCAGGTCAGGAAAGCTTGAATGTACCTTTCTCTTAGTCATGATTACAGACAGCTGTCACCTTTCCACTAATCAGAAATGACCACAGTGGGAAAACAAACAAACATACCAGGCAGCATGAACTTCTGGGCCTAAAAAACTCTCAGGGAGTCTCGAATTACCATGAGAGGCAGGGGCCAAGATGGAACCAGCAGAAGCCAGAGGGGCAGGTAGTGTGTATCGAGCAGCTTCCTTGATGCCCAACCTCATGGCACCCTCCTTGACCCACTCCTCTGCTCTGGAACCAGGCTTTGAGTAGGGAGGGAGGAGCACTTGGCCACCCATTCACAAAGGACTTATTAAGCATCTCCTGTAGACCTGGCCCCGTTCAGAGCACTGGTGAGGGAAGAGGGGATAGCAGACCACAATCCCTGCCTGCCTGGAGCTCATACGCGCAGGGAGGGCAGATGGATGCATTGACTTCCATAAGTTCAGGAAGTCCTGTGCGTTTACAATGTTCCAGGATGTCCATCAAGCCCTGTCCCTGGAGTGTCTCATTTTACCCTGAAAACCCTCCCTGAGCCAGTGTCGTGCATGACTCCCATTTTACAAATGAGAAAACAGAGTCAACAAGAGAGCTGGGATCACACAACTAAGCTGGTTGGAGACTGAAGGCCAGACTGTGTAGCCAGCTCCTTATGAGGATGAATCGGGGCTGGCAGGAAGAGATGTGTATTCACTGGCATGAAGGCACAGGGTGGCGTGGGAAACACCTCACATACGGTCCTGTCTTTTCCCTTGCAGAAGTGCAATCCCAGATTCAGATGGCCTCAGTACCAGGGGTGACGGCCCAGCAGAACCAGACCTGGAGGAAGGGCACATAGACCCTGAAGAGGACCTGTCTGTGAAGCGGCTCCTGGAAGAAGAACTGTCGAGCCTGCTGGATCCACACACTGGTAGGCATTCCTGGGGCTCCCCAGCCCTGCCCCTGCTCTCCCCCATCCTTGTTCTTTCACATGGCCAGACTGCAGAGAACTCCAAGCTCCAGTTCACTGCAGGCAAGCAGGCATCCTGCTTCCTGGGGAGGAACAGCAGCCCTGTTGCATTGTACCTGCAGTTCCAGAAAGTGCTTATTTGCTTAAAGACCAGGTTCTACTTTGATCATCAGTTTAATTTAATTTTCAAAGATGCATTCATTTACTTGAAAGGCAGAGTGACAGAGAAAGAGACCCCGATTCTCCAGGAGTCCAAAACTCCATCTGGGTCAACTGCATGGGAGGCAGAAACCCACGTACATGGGCCATCCCATCTTCTGCTGCTACTCAGGTGCGTCAGCAGCAAGCCAAAATGGAAACTGGCTCTTGAACCAGCCTTCCTCTATGGGATACAGGCAACCCACACAGTGACCCAATCCAGTGTGCTGCAACTCCAATCCCTGGTTATTAATTTAAATATTCATCATGAAAATAGTGACTGATGGTTGAGCACTTGTTCTATGGCTGGCACTGAAGAAGCATATTCTATACATCACCTCTTAAGTCTACAAAGAGTCTTCTGGGGCAGATAGTATTATGCTCCAAGTTAAAGATGGTGAAGCTAAGGCTCTAAGAGGTAAAGTCACTTGCCCAGAGTCACCTGGCCCCTCTGTCATTGAAGGGAGCTCCACCCTGGGTCTCAATTCCTCCAGAACTCCTAAACCAATCACCTGCATGCAAAATGTTAACATTTTAAACAACAAGAATTTTTGGTAGGAAAAGAAATAGTTTAACTCTATGTAACTTGTACTTGATTTTTAACTATTTTATTGATGCATTTATCTATTTGAGATTTATTTTACTCATACAAAAGATAGAGTGACACAGAGCAAGGGAGAGACAGAGAGAAATATGCTTCATATGCTAATTCACTGCCCAGAGGGCCACAATGGCCAGGCTAAAGCCAGAAGCCAGGAACTCACTCTAGGTCTCCCATGTAGTTGACAGGGGCCCAAGCACTTGGGTCATATTTCACTGCCTGCAAGGTTCATTAGCAGGGAGCTGGCTTGGAGGCAGATCAGCCAAGACTTGAACTAGCACTTCAGTGTGGAATGCTGGCATCCCAGAGAGTGGCTTAGCCCGTGGTGCCATAGTCAGCGCCTATAACTTGGATCTTAAGAATCTGCTAGTGGCCTCCTCCCCATTTCCTGTTGCTGCATTGGCCAGCCTCCCTTAGGGTACACGTCGCACTTCTGACCACCTCTGTGCTGCGGCTTTCTGTGCCCTAGGTCATCTGTTGTCCTGTGCTCCAAGAGGTGCAAACGTGCCAAAGGAGAGACAGTGACTTCCCTTGAATCCCCTGAAAACACAGCTGCCATTTGTGGAGCACTTAGTACAGACTCGTCCCTTCTCTGAGACCCTCATGAGAAAACTAGGGAATGTGGTCTGATCATTACGCCCATTGCATAAAAGAAAGAAACTGAGGATATGGGTGGGTTAATAGTATGCCCAGGGTCATTACCAACAGTTATTAATGGTTATTAACACCCAGCAGTATGGCTCTAAATTTTAGTCCAGTACGGCAGTCCCTGTCCAACGTGGCTATTTAAATGTAAATGAACTGAACATAAAGAAAATGAAGTCTTCAGTCCCTCCATCTTCTCAGTCACCTTTTCAGGGTTCATGAGCCCCACAGCGCTAGCAGCTGTAGCTTCAGATTCCGTCTCCAGGCCCGTTGTGGTTACAGTGCTGGGCTCAGTTCCCATGGTCCTGCCTCCTGGCTGTCCTAAGGCCCTGACCCTGGGAGGGAAGGTAGGGCCAGGAAGGAAGCAGGGATTGAAAGCCACCACCATGGTGTCCCTGATGAATGTGTCTGAGACTGGGTCTCGCTGCTTCAGACAAAAGTTCCACCTGAGGGTGCTGATGGAGTGAGCTCAGTAGATGGCGCTCACAGTGGTCCCACAGGATGAGTCCTGCTGTCTCATCATGCTGGGAGGGGGCGGACGGGGCTCAGAGAGGCGAGAACCACTTTTCTGAGGTCTTGCCGTCCCTTAGGGACGAACCAGGGACAGCAAACCCAGAGGCCCACGTGCGGCTGGAATTGGAGGGCAATGCAGAGTGAGCTGCCCGATGCTCACGTGCTCCCCAACCCTGTGGAGGGAAGTGCCAGGTGCAGCCCTATTGCCTCAGCATCTTGGGGACTGCGGTTACATCTCCAGATGTCGAGGTTAGTAAGAGTGTTTGATCTCTTCAGTCAGTCATAAACAGTCACAAAGTCCAGGGAGAGGGGCCAGACTCCAGGACTCAGTAGGCAAGGCGCCAGTCTGGCCTCACATCCTGCACAGACCAGACCTGAATGCAAGATGGAGAACTGTGTATGTATATATACACACACACACACATATATGTATATATATACATATGTATATAGATATATTATAAAATATAGTGATTGGCTCTACTTTGAGGGAACCATTTCAAATCACAAAAATACTTGGTTCATGAGAAAAATATGTACAAAAAATAGAATAAATCACTTGTGCCTAGGGGTAGTGTCAGCACTGACATATCTAAAATAAAGCATTTAAAAAATTGATATTGCCCATCTCTCCCTTAGCTCTGACACAGACATTTTAAAAGACCATTTCTTTTTTTTTTTTTCAAAAGTTATTTATTTTTTATTGGAAAGTCAGATATAGAGAGGAGGAGAGACGGAGAAGAAGATCTTCCATCCCATGATTCACTCCCCAAGTGACTGCAATGGCCAGAGCTGCACCAGTCTGAAGCCAGGAGCTCTTTTGGGTCTCCTACATGGGTCTAGGGTCCCAAGGCTTTGGGCCATCCTGCACTGCTTTCCCAGGCCACAAGCAGGGAGCTGGATGGGAAGTGGAGCAGCCGGGATTAGAACCGGTACCAAAATGGGATCCCAGCGCTTACAAGGCGAGGACTTTAGCCGCTAGACCGCCGTGCCAGGTCCAAGACCATTTCTTTTAAAAAAAATATATTTATTTTTATTGGAAAGACAGATGTGCAGAGAAAAGGAAAAACAGAGAAAGATTTTCCATCTTCTGGTTCACTCCTCAAGTGGCTATAATGGCTAGAGCTGAGCTGATCAAAGCCAGGAATTTCTTCTGGGTTTCCCATGTGGGTGCAGGATCCTATGTGAGCCATCCTCCACTGCTTTCTCAGGCAGGGAGCTAGATGGGAAGTGGAGCAGCTGGACACAAACGGGTGCCTATAAAGGGTCCTGACCCATGCAAGCCAAGGATTTAGCCACTGAGCCATTGCACCGGGCCCTATAAGCCCATTTCTTAACCACATGGCTTTGAGTTGCCTTCCTTGCCTTGGCCTTAACCTCAGTTTTTGAGGAGCACTTTCTGTGGTAGGAATGGGAGAAGAAATGTGAGAGTGCCTTTGGGAATAATCCAGGGAACAGTATTTTAAATTCTCAGCCCTGAAGCTGCCATGCCACAGCCCCTGCCCCAGTCCTTTTCCTGGGAGCCTCCAGGCAGGCAGCCGCTTCCCATCCAGGTTAGCAACCAGCTCTTCAGAGAGTAGCTAAGTGCCTGCAATCCCAGTGAACTTGGGAGTCATCAGACCTGGGGTCGAATCTGGGTTTAGTTGCCTGAATGTGTGCCCTAACTAGTTTGGGCCCCAGCTTACCCATTCATAAAATGGGGACAATACCCTTGACCTCAGATGCTTACGTGAAATGAGATAATAATATAAATTGCTCGGCACCTATTCAGGATATAAACAGAAGGCAGCCAAGTCAAAAACTGCAATTTTGGCTAAGAAAGGGGGTTTTTGCCCCATCCTCAGGAGGTGGTAGTGGGAAGTGGAGAGGAACTCTCCCGTAAAAGGATGAAAACTCAAGCAGGACTCAGACCAGGTCCTAAAATGTACCATGGATCTGGGAATTCATCGAAATTGGCTGATCTCCAAATCTGGATCCTCCACCCCCCACTCTGCCTCCTCCCCAGTCAACTCCCAGGCACTTCAGTAGCCGTCTTCCTGCCCGGCAGCTTCTTTGTCAGGGCCTCTTCCTTCCTGTCCCCCCACCGGCCACTCCATCCGTCCCCTGCCATTTCCCTTCCCTCCTTTGTCCCCTGCCCTTGCCCTGCCCATACCCTCCCCCTTCCTCGGGCCCAGCCTCACTGATCCCACCCTCCCTCTCCTCAGGACTGGCCTTGGATCGACTGAGTGTCCCAGATCCTGCCTGGATGGCTAGACTGTCTTTGCCTCTTACCACCAACTACCGTGACAACGTGATCTCGCCCGATGCGGCCGCCTCGGAGGAGCCGAGAACCTTCCAGACGTTCGGCAAGGAGGCGGGGCCAGAGCTGAGCCCAGCAGGCACGCGACTAGCCAGCACCTTTGTGTCGGAAATGAGCTCACTGTTGGAGATGCTGCTGGAACAGCGGTCCAGTGTGCCTGTGGAGGCCGCCTCCGAGGCACTGCGGCGGCTCTCGGTCTGCGGGAGGACCCTCAGTCTGGACCTGGCCACTGGCAGAACCTCAGGCCCAGAAGGGCGGGGCGGCCCAGGTGGAAAGAAGGACCAGAGTGGCAGCAGCAACAGCAGCAGGTGTCTGTGAGAGCGTGCTGGGTGCCTCAGAATCCAAGAAACAGGGGCTCCAGAGATGCCAGGGACCTGTGGCATGAGCTGGTTTTTTGACATCTTGGAAAACTTTTGGGTGACTGACGCTTCCCCCCACAGAGGAGGCAGGGACCCCAAGCTTACAGCTGACAGGCAAAAGCAGCCCCCGGCTATGAGGGGGCCATGCCTCATGTGCGTTGGAGGATGGGGACAGTTTGTGGCTCGTGTAAGTGTTTGCTGGTAAAACACAAGCAGAGTGGGAGGGTGTACCCTGCAGTGGGGCAGATGCTATGGAGCATTCCGGGGAGGGGGGATGGCCTTGTTGGGGACCTCAAGGTCAGGGGGCTGGAAACTGGGGTGCCAGGCAATGCTCCCTGTCTGACAAATAAAGAAAACAAGGCAGCCTGCTCTCCTGTTTGCACCTTTTAGGAAGGACACGATACAGTAACAGAGGGAGGCCGGATCTTTGTCACCCAATCCCTACAGCAAGAAAGTCCTGATGGACCCGGACAGGAGCAGAGCATGTTGATGCCCAGGGACAGGCACACAAAGGATGGATGTACATGCTCTTGACCTCTCTCCTCTATCAACAAATCTGCTTCTGAGCTAGAAAAAATAGGGCTAAGAAAAGCAAAGCTATTTATAGAGCATTTACATGAGCCAGGCACCAAGCTTTATGGTAGGATTTAATTTGATTTTCCAAGGACCCCAGGAGAGAGGCATTGCTTTCCTTATTTCACAGACATGGGTAGGAAGCTTGGAAAGGTTAAGAGTGTCTCCCAAGAGCAAACAGGGAGTAGAGACAGAGCCAGGATATGGACCCAGGCTGGTCTAAGACCAGACCCCACGCCCTCAGCCTTGGCACCAGGCAGCTAGCTGAGGCCAGGAAAAAACCCTAGAGGTGAGTTTTGGCCAGTGCTGGACACGTGGAGACACTGTGTGGAGAAACACTGTGGAGACAAACGTTTCAAAGCAATGCTTACGAGTGCAGGGCGAGGGGAGCTAGGCTCTGACCGCTCCGCCAACAGAGCCCTTGAGGTGCAGGTGTGCAGGTGTCATCTGGCCTGTGTTTGCAGGTAAAGCTTCCTCTGTCATAGCAAATTCAGGTCTATGAATTCAAGCCCCAGAGGACAGCAGGTGACCTGGCTTTATGAAATCGACACTGACAGCAGCCGGCTTCCCACAGAGGAGGGAGGGTGAAGAAACAATAACTATTTTCCCAAGGTTCAGCTCTATGATTTTCCAGGAAAATTCTAAATGGTCACTTAGGTCAGCCTTTTTTTTTTTTTTTTTTTTTTTTTTAAGATTTATCTATTTTTGTTGGAAAGGCAGATTTACAGAGAGAAGGAGAGACAGCGAGGAAGATCTTCTGTTCACTGGACACAATGACCAGAGCTGAGATGATTTGAATCCAGGAGCGTCATCTGGGTCTCCCACATGGGTACAGGGTCCCAAGGCTTTGGGCTGTCCTCCATTGCTTTCCCAGGCCACAAGCAGGGAGCTGGATGGGAAGCGGAACAGCTGGGATACAAATTGACACCCATGTGAGATCCTGGTGATTACAAGGTGAGAATTTTAGCCACGAGGCTACCACACTAAGCCCACTTAGCTAACTTCTAAACAACAAGTACTTGAGGCGGGAGGTGGACTCTTTCAGACATCGAATATTCCTGTTTACCTACTTTTGTCCGTACTTGAAACTCATTGCTCTCATCAACTACCCATCAAAAAGGGCAGGTCACACTTCCAGCTAGGAGTAGTAGACATCATCCAAACGTGGACACAGTGAAGCCTTTTGTCTCACTATTCCAATCTATAAATGAAGAGGGAAAGTGGTTCAGGAATACAGTCTCTGGGGTCTGATGAAAACTCCCTGGGCCTGAACAAGATCGGTTCTCTGGGACCCTGGGCAAGGCCAGGGCAAACCAGCCTGAGCAGCCAGCTGCCTGGTACAATGTAACACTTGAGAGTTAACTTGAGAGTTAAGTGAATGTATTAGCGAATAGATGGACACACACAGGTCACAGTCCCCTTCTACTGGTGCTGGTGCTCCCAGTCCAGCTATGTTAGAAAAGCATAGCTCCGTAATGGAGAAAATAAGGCTGAGAGTCACAGTACTAGGACAGCTGATGTTGACTCCCCACTTGCAGGTGGATTTCCAGCGCATGGTTGATGTTAGGGGACTGAAAAGAAGAGACAAGGGAAGGAAGTGACCCAAGGAAGCTGCAGCTGAGTCCTTAGCTACACTGGACCACTGCATCCTTCAAGGTCAAAAACATAAAGTTGTAGTCTTTGGGACCCAGTCACCCCCATCCCCTGAAAGTTAGGCATATCTTGTATATCAGGTATTTTTCTTCCAGGCAGAAGAGGTGAATGCCCATCAGATTCTCAAAGAAAGGTGTGAACTGAGAAAGGTTCTGCAGCACTGCTCCAAGACATCACTAACCCTCCATAGACACGGCAATTATAGTCATGAGGAGTCTGAACTTGATCTGTCTTTACTCTTCAGTTTATAGTTGAGGATGGAGAAAGACGGAAATGGCAGAGTTTGCCCAAAGCTACGTGGCAGGGCCAGGATTTGGACCTGGGAGTTAGGAAGATGTTCTTTCTAATACATCAAGGCTTCTTCACCTGGGGTCTCCGGTTGAGCATCACTGAACCTGCTGAACTGCATGCGAAATTGGAAAGGATAAGCGCTTTTCTATGGGAAGGGTTGGTGCTTTCATGAGATTCTCAAAGGGGTCTGTGACCTAAATAAGATGAAGGCCTACTGAAGTCTTCCAGTGAGTCCCTCGCTCTGTGTCCCTGCAGAACCTGGAGAAGTCCTGGCTACAGCTGCTCCCACTCTCAGGCAGGTGGTCTTTGATACAGGCAGGAAGAGGGGTTGCAGTACGTGAGGCTTGGTGTTCTTCCTGCACCCCTCCTCGCACGCTGATGCCAGCACTTTTCCCACTCACAGACTGAGAACGCGACAGTGCATATGGTGACAGAACTGGGTGTGCTGAACAGGAAGGTTACAGAAACTTCTTGACATCAGCCAAGATGTCAAAGCTGAGACTTTGGACATGTTCAAAACAGTTTCCACCAAGATAGGCTCTTGTCCCCTGGGAGACTGCGGGAGCAGGCGAGCCGGCGAGCACTCAGTTAAATGTCGTCTTAATTTGGAAAGCACAGAGGGACATGTTTTATCAATAGTCAGCCATTCCCCAGCACTGGGAGTGCTACGCAGTGCTCACTTGGAGCCTGGGGCAACTCAGAGATTGACAGGCAGCCTTCTTGTCTGTCACCCAACTTCAGGTTGGCAGTTCTCACTGACCCTGCCTCTCATCTGGCTCAAACAAGAGTTGAGATGGCAGCCAGTACCCCTAGGGACTCTCAAGAGAAGCAAATCCCAATAAGCAGAAGACAGGAGAGGTGGGAGGGAGTCCTGGCACAAGCTTGGCTGGGCACAAAGTGTGTACCTGGGAGATGGGTCGGCATCTTGGAGCCCCTAATAAGTGTAGGGAAGGTTGTAATGGGGGCAGAATGAGAATATGGAGTAATCAGAAACACTTCTTCAACAAAGATTTTGTGTTGATTGAACAAGTTCTGATGCCAGAAGTAGCACAAGAAACAGGGAAGAAATTTATAAACTAGTCCTCATTAAAGCACCTACTATGTGCTGGGTAGATGTGATGGTGAGCATTAGGTGGAGAGGAAGGGATACACACGATCACTCTCATTCACTGAGTAGCTTTTTACTATCTACTAAGTGCTCTGCCCTGGACCAACCCTGAAGCTCTAATGGACCGAATAACCCAGTTCCCACACCTCCCTGGAAAGGGTATGTCCATGTAGGGAAATGAAGGCACTAGGTCTAGGCACAGAGCATCCAGCGCAAAGATGCAGGCCTCAATGTGCGGGTGCCCTGCATTTTTATTGAGGCTGACACTGTAGATGAGGGCCAGCTCTCTGGCCTCCTCCCACATTTCCTCTTGGGGCATCATGATGAGTCATTAATAAAAGAATTTTAAAAGCAAAAGCACAGCAGTTCCCAGGTCTGCTGGTGAGGCTGGGCCCTGGGGCTGTGTCAAGACCGCAGTGCCTCCAGAGCCAAAGGCACTGGTGCCCTAACAGTGATAGCCATAGCAATCCCCTGGCCTTGGACTCTCAACAGCGTCCATCTCATGACAATTCCTCCACCTTGGTCAACTAACAGCGATCCTGACAGCATCCCTCACACCAATCCCCCTACCTCCATCCCTAACCACATCCCTCATAATGAACAGTCAGATTGGTCCCCTGAGTGTCCATCAAATGATATTCCCACATTGGTGCCCTGTCAGCATTCCTCAAATGACAACCTCCTCCACCTCCGCTTCCCGACAGTATCCCTCACACCTATCACCTCAATTCAGACCCCTAACAGTGACCCTAACAACCTCACACCTCAGTCTCCTGTCAGAGCCCTCACAATCCCCCACCTCTGTCCCCTGACAGCGTCACTCACAACAATCTCCTTACTTCGGTTCCATGACAGCTTCCCTCACAACCATCCCGCCTCTGTGCCTTGAGAGCATTCCTCACAACAATCCACTCACCTCAGTCACCCAACCGTGTCCCTCACAACATTCCCCAACCTCAGTCTCTTCACAGTGCCCTTCTCAACAATCCCCTCCCCTCAGTCCCCTGACCGCATCCCTCACAGCAATCCTCTAATCAGTTCCTTGATGGCATCTCTCACGTGACAATCAACCTCATCCCCTAACAGTGACCTTTCAACAATCCAACCCCTCTGACCCCTCATCTGTCTCCACCATGTCCCTCATAACCATCTTCCACCTCAGTCCTCTGCTCACATCCCTCACACCAATCCCCACACCTGAGTCCTGAATCACATCCCTCTCATGACAATCCCCTCACTTCAGTACTCTGCCAGTGTCCCTCACAACAATCCCTACCCGGGCCCCTGACAGCATCCCTCTCTACAATATCCTCACCTCGGTCCACCGGATAGCATCTCCCACATGAAAATCCCACTGGCTTGGTTGCCCAGCCATGTCCCTCATACCAATCCCCACTGTAGTCACCTGACAGTATCCCTGTCAAGAATCCTCTTATGGGCCTGATGTGGTAGCCTAGTGGCATGCAAGGTCCTTGCCTTGCATGTGCCTGGATCCCCTATGGACACCGGTTCTAATCCCAGCAGCCCCACTTCTCATCCAGTTCCTGTTTGTGACCTGGGTAAGCAGTGGAGGATGGCCCAAAGCCTTGGGAGACCCAGAAGAAGTTCCTGGCCCCTGGCTTCAGATCAGTTCAGCTCCATCTGTTGTGATCATTTGGAGAGTGAACCAGAGGATAAAGATCTTTCTATGGCACCTTTTCACTGTAAATCTTTTCAATAAAAATAAATTCTTGTAAAAATCCTCACCTTGGTCTCCTCACAGTGTCCCTCACAATAATCCCCACACTTTAGTCTCCTAACCATGACATTCTCATGACAACGTGTCACTTCAGCACTTTGACAGCGTCCCTCACAACAGCCCTCCTCCCCTGCTCCCTGACAGCATCCTTCTCAACAATCCGCTCACCTCAGGACTCTGTTGGCATTCCTCTCAACAATTCTCTCACCTTGGTCCCCTGACAGCTTCCCTCACAATTCCCTCACCTCAATCTCCTCACAGCGTCCCTCACAACAAACCCTCAGCTCGGTCCCTTGACAGCATCCTTCTCAACAATTCCCTCACCTCAGTCCCCTGACAGCGTCCCTCATTATCCCCTCACCTCAATCTCCTCACGGTGTCCCACTCAACAATCCCCTCACCTGGGTATCCTCACATTGTCTTTCACACCGACCTCTCCACCTCAGTCGCCTAGCCATGTCCTCAACAATCCCCTCACCTCAGTCCCCTGGCAGTGTCCCTCTCAAGACAGTCCTCCCACCTCTGCCCTCTACACAAAAAGTGGCTCTCCCTTTAAAAGTGGTTTATTTTAACTTTAAAGATTTATTTATTTTTACTTGAAAGGCAGATGTTACAGAGAAGGAAAGACACAGACAAAGGGCTTTTATCCACTGGTTCACTCCCCAAATGGCCACAAATGCTCAAAACTGAGCCATTCTGAAATCAGCAGCCAGTTTATTCCAGGTCTCCCACATGGGTGGAGGGACCCAAGGCTTTGGGCTGTCCTCTACTGATTTCCCAGCCATAACTAGTGAGCTGGATCAAAAGTGGAAAAGCTGGCCAGGCAGTGTGGCCTAGTGGCTAAAGTCCTCGCCTTGAACGCACTGGGATCCCATATGGGTGCCGGTTCTAATCCCAGTGACTTTGCTTCCCATCCAGCTCCCTGCTTGTGGCCTGAGAAAGCAGTTGAGGACGGCCCAAAGCCTTGGGACCCTCACCCGCGTGGGAGACCCGTAAGAAGTTCCTGGATCCTGGCTTCGGATCGGCATAGCATCAACCATTGCGTTCATTTGGGGAGTGAATCATCAGACGGAAGATCTTCCCTTTTGTCTCTCCTCCTCTCTGTATATCTGACTTTCCAATAAATAAATAAATCTTTTTTTTAAAAAAAAGTGGAAAAGCCAAGACTAGAACCAGCACCTCTATGGAATGCCAGTACCACAGGCAGAGGATTACCCACAATACTCCCATACTAGCCCAACATTTATTTTATTTTTATTTGAAAGATAGCTTTATAGAGACAGATCTCCTACCCTCCGATTCACTCCCCAACTGGCTGTGATGGCTAGAGCTGAACTGATCCAAAGCCGGGAGCCAAGAGCTTTCTCCTTGCCTTCCATGTGAATGTAGAGGCCCAAGGCATTAGGATCTCCTCTGCTGCCTTCCTAGGTTTAAGCAGGGAGCTGGATTGCAAGTGGAGCAGCTGGAACTCAAACTGGCATCTATATATGAGAAGCTGGCACTGAAGGCAGAAGCTTAGCTTCCTACACCATGGTGCTGGTCCAAGAAGCATTTGAGAATACCCTAGCCTCACCTCTGGTTTCCCAAAGTGAAGCAGTATTTAACTCAGCAGTGACTGGGGCAACCTGCTTCTGGCCACACCGCAGGACACCCAGGGTCATCAGCGTCTGAACTGCCCTTGGCCTCAGGCATGGAAGTAAGGAGGAAGCAGCAATCAGAATCCAAAAGGATCACCTGAGGGCCAGGGGCTGGGAACTGGCTCCAAAGGGAGGGCAAGCCATGTTTCTAACCAAGTGTGACAGGGGCTGCCAGGCCACCTATAAGGAAACAGGCTTCATGTTCCACTTGGTGCAGGAAACACAGGGTTAACCAAGTCCTTTACTGTAGCAATTCTTGGAACCTTGAATATGCTGAATCTATATAAAGGGGATGTCTCCATCAGCCTTTCCCAAACTTCTTTGACCACAAACTTTCCCCACCCCCTTTTTTGGCAGAGATTGGTGTACTGCATTGCTGAAAATGAGGGGCCTTAACTGGTGTGTGCTGTGCCCAGCACCCACTCAGGGCACTCGGCTATCTGTCGGGGGCAGCCATGGAATAGAGTGGGGCTTGGGGGTGAAGCAGAGTGCAGGGTAAGCCCAGAGCCCAGGGTCGGGAGCAGGAGGCAAGGGAGGCGCTGGATCTGGGGAAAGATGGAGCTCCAGCAGTGACTGGAGGCTGTGAGGCAGTGTGGCAGGGATCACCACTAGGATGGGAGAGTCAGTGGCAGGAAACGCACACAGCTCCCATCCCAGCCCCACTCCCACAACCCTGCCACCCTTGCACTGGCCAAGCTGGCTGATCCTTCCCATCCCAACAGTCAAGGCCCTGGGGGCCCTCCCACCCCAGCCCACCCCCACCCTCAACCACATCTATTCTATTAAACTTGGGCTAATATCCAGAAGCCAGGGAATAGCTATTCACAAATTCAGTAATTGGAGTCATTAGCGTTGACTCAGAAATCATTTTTTTTTTCTAAGTCTCTCTCTTGGAGAAGCTTTTAAGGCCCTTTAAATTGGTTAATGGAGAGTTTAGAGACGAGGATGGAGTCTCAGTATTCGGTAACCTCTGCCCACCTCCTTGGCACTCCCCGACCCACTCAAGGACAAGAATGATGAGACAATCCAATCTCTGCTTTACTAGACATCTATACAATTCCAGCACACCTTTTCCAAACAAGGGCTCCAAGATGCCCAAGAACTCCCCTCACACTGGGGGAGGAGAATCACGCTCACATGTGTGATCAGTGTGAACCCTGGGCTACCCAGGTCCTCCTCCTGGCCTGGTGTCTCCTTAGGCCACCATCTCGGGGGATCACACCACCTCCATGGGCTTGGTTAGTCCCGCAAGGCAGCAGGGCACACACCCCTGTCCTCGGTCTACATGCCAGGAAACAACACAGCCAGTCAGATATGTGCATCCACCAGGAGACACGGTGAGGCACGTGGCAGAGCCAAGCACAGGACTTCACACACTTCCTCTTCTTCACCATGCTGTGTAGGTGTTTGAGGTTTTGGGGAGGTAGACGGACAACTGACCTCTTCTTTGGGACTCAAGTTGTAAAATTTCTTAGAGAACACACAGGCTCTTTCTAAGGTTGGACTGAGATGGTCTGAAAAATGCAAGCAGTCAGGCAAGGAGCTCCTCCCTCCCCAATCAGAGGCCAAATGAGAACAGTCAGACTCCACTGCAAGCAAACAAAGGTGAATGCCAACAGCCTGATTCTGGTGCCCCGAGCTTCAGCAATTGCTGGTACCATTCCTGTTATTCTTGCCACCTCTCTGGACCTGGACTTACCTTGCAACAAGGGTTTGCTTTAAACTGATTATCCCTTCTTTTTAAGTCAGTTTTAATTTGAGACATAACATCTGTAAAACTTCAGATCAACACACTGGTCACATTTTTCATATTTTGTATTAAACATCACAACTATCAAAAGAAAATTATATAGATCTGAATGCCACCTATAGTGATCTCATGAGCCACCTTGAGGTGTTGGCATGTACCTTGTTTACATGAAGAGGAAAGGGAAGTGACTTCCTCAGAGACAAAGGCTAAGATGAGGACTAGGTCCCTGGACTCTTCAGTAGACTTTCTCATAGGTCACTGAGTCAATTTTTGGTGCATAGACCAGAAATGACTATGAATGCATCCCATGTTCTGCCAAGTGGTGGAAATGGTCAAAGTCATCATTCATTAGCCATACATGCACTTAAAGTCATCTGGGAACTTAAGCTCCCATTGGAATCTTTACCCTGCAAAGTACACTGATGTCCAGTTTTTGTCATCTAACTTTCTGTCTCTGCCCCCAGCCCTGGAGAGGCACCAGTGGTTGTGTTTTGTCTCACCTTAGCCGAAACCTAATCTTACGAGACTCCTTTCCAAGGTTGGGATGGTTCTGCTGGGGGCCCCAAGGCTGGCTCCGACATGCCCGCTCCTGCAGAGGCGGCCAAGGCTCCCTGTGCTCGAGGCGTGTGGTAGGCAGGAGGCTCCTGTGAGCAAGTTATTTAGGCTGCAGAGAGAGGGGCTGGAGAAAGACTTCAGCCCTGTAATCGCCAGGTTGCTGGGCCCTGGAGCTACGAGAAAAGGGAGGCAAGAGACACTCTTACTCATGCTGTATTTCTGAAAATCTACTTCGGGGAAAGGACTTCTTTTATGAAGTTAAGTATCCACTTGAGAGGCAGGAGAGAAGGGGGGTACAGAGTGAGCACCCCCACTTTCTGGCTCGCTCTGCAAATGTCTACAATGACTCCCAGCTGGGCCCAGGTCTTAGTCCAGGTCTACCATGTGTGTAGCAGGAACACAGTCACATGAGCCATCCCTGCTGCCTTGCAGGATGCAAGAGCAGGAATGCTTTAGAGTCAGGAGTGGGGCTGAGCGTTGAACTCAGGCACTCTGACACAGGATGCAAGCAGTCACATCAGACCTGCAACTGCTAGGCTACAGCATGCCCCAAGTAAAGTCCTCTTAAAGGACTTGGGTCCCCCTAGCATGGATAACCCAGCTCAGCCCCAGTGATTCACGAGGCAGCAGGACTCTAATAGTCCTTGTGGGGGTGATTCAGACAGCCTGAGGACACCATCTCTTCGAAAAATCACCAGACAACTTGCATGGACTCATGGTCGGCTATGTGTCACGCGGGGCTAAGGTCTTTATTATTATCTCATTTAACCTGTACAACAGGCTGATGAGCAAGGCATCATTACTGTCCTTGCTTTCACAGGGTCAAAAACACACAGGCCAAGCTCAGTGGCAGTGAGAGTTAAAATTCAGATCTGCCTGATTCCAAAAACTGTGCTCTTAACCATCAAGGGAGCAGGAAGTGACAAGGGGCTCTGGGGAGTACTGCCACCTCACTTACGGTGTCACAGGGGACTCTGCTCAGAGGAGCGACCCTGTGGGTTTTGACATGCATGGGTACCTGTTGCTTTCACGGGAAAGAGTGTCCGCAGCCTCTCCTGGGCAGGCTGGTTTCCCACAGCGGCCGACTGCTGGTAACATCTCACTGCTTCTTCCAGACTCCTTGGCACACCGAGGCCTTTCTCGTAGCAAATCCCCAAGTGATACCTGCTCTGTGAGTCCTAAAGGAAGCAACAGACACACATGGAGGTCACTGTGCTGGGGATGCTCCGCCAGGAGGAAGGCAGAGCCTGGTATGCTAAAAACCTCACCCACACAGTGCCAGGGTCCATCCAGGCCCACCCACACCTTGGATAGCAAGTACAGAATGGCAGAGGCCTGGAGCTCACCCAACACAGGGGAGATGTCAGCCTGAACAGGAGGGGAGCTTCTCTTGCTAGGGCGGACTGGAAAACAGCCGAAGTGAAACCTACAGGAAATGCTCAGCCTAGGTATGGGAAACCAGGCTCCAATATTATCCAGAGATAGCAAGGAGACAAGGATGGGAGGGCAGTCTCCCAAAGGCCCTGCCTGTCTTCCTCAACCTCTGCCTGGGAGGCTGTGAAACCTGGATAACACAGACAAGACTGCTGCTTCTTGGAGTGGTGACAGTGGGCCTCTTTGGGGAATAACAGGCACTTTGGGCAACACAAACAGGTTGGGCAAGCATGCTGAGGCCCAGGAATTCCAGGATGCTATCAATATGCTAGGTCAAAGTATGGAGTAGCAGTGGGCCCTTGCAGGGATGTGACAGGACATACAGTTTGCTGGTCTGCCTCTTCCAGATGCCAGTCAAAACACAGCCTAGTAAAATACACTTGAGGAACACAGCAAACCACAGATTGCCTCCTTGGTGATTCACAAGGACATGCAGCTCTGACAGATCCCACACTGAAGACCACTGTTTAACTCGATATTCTTCAAATCATTTAACACACCCTACAGAACTGATATTCCATAGAACAATCTCCTGGTCAGACTACCTGGATACTAGTGGCCCCTGCTCCTCAGCTTCTCAGTGTCTCCCCTCTGTGTATCTTCTGACTTCCCAGGCTACCACAACTGTAAGGTCGCACCTGCCCTGTGCTCTCCCACCTGGTCTTCCAGGTAGCTTTCCATCCTTACAACAATCCTGTGAAGCCAGACATGCACAGCAGATATTATCATGCGGAGCTTAAGGGGGAGCAAACAGACTTGGATCAGGAAAGACTCAGCCCAGTGTGTGCTGGTAAACACTCAAGAGCTGGCTGCGGGGAGTGAGAGCGAGCAGGAACCCTGCTTTGTCTTTAGTTGTGCCTTTGGTGCACTCTCTCACCATCAATGACTGCAGGTGGAACAAGCTGTTGGGTCTGTCCAGGGGTCCTACAGTGAGCTGCAGGGCTAAGGCTTGAAGCCCCTCCAGGGCTGCTGGGGAACCCACACACATGCTCAGTTATACATCCTCATATATTCAGCCTCAAGCCCCACCAGGCCAGCCAGCATGAACTGCGTACCCCATTGTTAGCAGCAAGCCACAGGTATTTCACGGCTCTCTGTTCATCCAGGTACGGCACCTTGGTGAAAAGCACCCCGAGGAAAGCTTGGGCCTGTGGGAAAAGGCATGTGGGTCATTTCCAGGCCCCACTTATGCAGGACACCCTGGATGTACCTGCCCCAGGATACTTGCCTCTGTCAATCCCGAGTCTGCGGCCTGCTCCAGCATGCACATGGCCTTCTGCTGCTGCGGGTCCCATGCAGAGGCTGAGTCCTGCAGCAGGCACCTGGCATAGCGGTACTGAGCCAGGCTGTGGCCCTGGCTGGCAGCCAGCTGGTAATAAAGGACTGCCTGGGCACAGTGGAAACACCCAGTCAGCTGGTGATTCTCTTTGGGCGAAACTGGAAACTTTTAGTTTAATTAAATAATACATAACGACTATAGATGAGTCAGAAAATACAGAGAAGCCAAACTTTAAAACAGAAGCATAAAATTCCAGGACATTCAGCTTCTTTAACAATTATTCTTTGAGGAGTGTGTTGATAGTCTTGCAAGTCTCTTTGCATACATGTATGCATCACACACACATGCATAGAGTGAGAGTACCTGTGTGTGTGGTGTGACAACTGACTCATACCATAGTATTTTGTAGTTTATTTTCTTAACTTAATAATACATCATGAAATGTCTTTTCCTGCCAATAAATATAGACCCAGGCCATCACTGTAAAGGCCCACATAATGTAATTAACCAGTTTTCCGCTGCTTTCCCTTTTTATTCTTCACATCACCTTAGAAATGCTTTCTTGTGACATCTCTGTGACTTAACCCACTCTAGAACATATTAACCCATCCTTTAGGGCATTGTTCTAGGATATAGGATGAAGGCCAGATCCCTGTCCTCCCTGAGTTCTGAATCTAAATTTCCAGGAGCTGGGAACTCACTCCTTAAATTTTCCTTGATGCTGGGCTGAAACAAATGGGAGAGAAAATCTGGGCATCCCTCCACTCCCACCCTAGCCTTACGCATCTCCTGGGAGCCCCCTGGGCAGCCCAGCATGGTGGACAGGCCGGGGCAGGAAGAGGAGGTGCAGTACCCCAATCCCATCCTCATTCATCCCCAGTGAGCCCTTAGGGCAAGCCAGCATGGCAGACGGGCCCTGGGCAGGGGAATGAGGTGCAGTACCTTGCTGAGGTCCCTGGGGGTACCTCTGCCATGCTCATGGCACAAGCCCGTGTTGTACTGTGCTTTGCTGTAGCCACGGTCTGCAGCTTTCTGGAAGTAAGAGAAGGCTGCTGCGTAGTCCCCATTCTTTATGTTCTCTGTCCCTGCAAGAAAGCACAGGGTGTGACAGCCCCTGCATGAGCTCTGCCTGGTGCTGGGCCAAACCATCACAGGCTTCTCTCAAGACCAGGCTCCTGTCAGCCTTTTCTGTACAAGACATGTGGCAATATTTTTCACCTCCAAATACTTCACTGATGTTCTTCAGATATCAGTGGGTTCTGCCTTCCCATATAACCAACCATTCATTCTTCTGGAGATTTCCCTGCGCTGTCAATCAATGTGTCTATGCTTCTCCCAGTCAACATGGTGTTTTTTTCAGGAATCTAAACCTCGCTCAGGCTAGGATAAGGAAAGAAAATAGCTCCTGTAAGTGGCTCCTGATCCCCAGCCAATTGTGTGCCTCAAGTAGACAGAATGAGTTTGGACTATTTGTAACTAACAAATCTTAAATGATATAACTGATACTGTTTTGTTTTAAAGATTCATTAATTTGAGGGGCTGGCACCATGTCTCAAGGGGCTAATGATCTACCTTAAAGCACCAGCATCTCATAAGGGCACTGATTTGTGTCCCAGCTGCTCCACTCCTTTTTTTTTTTTTTTTTAAGATTTACTTATTTTGATTGGAAAGTCAGATTTACAGAGAGAAGGAGAGACAAAGATCTTCCATCCACTGGTTCACTGCCCAAGTGGCCGCAATGGCTAGAGCTGAGCTGATCTGAAGCCAGGAGCCTCTTCTGGGTTTCCCATGCAGGTGCAGGGTCCCAAGGCTTTGGATGTCCTCTACTGCTTTCCTAGGCCACAAACAGGGAGCTGGAAGGAACTGGAGTAGCTGGGATACAAACCAGTCCCTTTATGGGATCCTAGTGCGTGGACAAGGACTTTAGCCACTAGGCTACTGTGCTGGGCTCTCAGCTGCTCCGCTTCTCATCCAAGTCTCTGCTTATGGCCTGGGAAAGCAGCAGAGGATGGTCCAAATCATTGAACCCCTGCACTCACAAGTGGGAGACCCGGAAGAGGCTCCTGGGATTCAGATCAACTCAGCTCTAGCCACTGTGGCCATTTGGGGAGTAAAACAGTAGATGGGATATCTTTCTCTCTGTAAATATGTCCGATGTTAAAAAGTTTAAAAATAGACATATATTTTTAAAGTCTTTTAAATATTTTAAAAGGGCTAGCATCAGAGAAAAAGGGAGAGACAGAGGTCTTACATTTGCTGATTCACTTTCCAAATGCCCACAATAGTCAGCTCTGTGCAGGTAAAGTTCAGACGCCAGGAATCCCATCTGGGACTCTCATGAATATCGGGGCCTAAGTACTTGGACCATCATGCCTGCCTTTTCAGGGGCATTAATTGGAAGCCAGGTCAGAAGCTGAGCAGTTGGAACTGGAACCTATACTCCAGTATGGGATGTAGGTGTCACAGGTGGTGGCTTAGCATGCTGAGCCATAACACCAGCTTTTTTGTTTTTAAGGTTTAGTAATTTGCTTGGAAGACAAAGTCACATAGAGAAAAGGAGAGAGAGAAAAAGAGAGATGTTCCATTCACTGATTTACTCCCCACATGGTCCTAGTGGCTGGGACCAGGGTGAAACCAGGAGCCTGGAACCCCACCTAGCCTCCCACATGGACAGCAAAAACTTGGCCAAGTACTTGGCCTGTCATCCACTGTCTTTCCAGGCACATTACCAGGGAGCTGGATCAGAAGTGGTGCACACAGGATTGGGACCAGCACTCCGATATGGGATGCTGGCATTGCAGGTGGCAGCTTCACTGGCTGCACCACAATGCTAGTCCCTGTTCATTTTGTTTGATGAGGAGACTGGGAACAGTGAAATGGGAGAGTCAGAAGCTGGATGCAGACTGCTGAGATCACACTATTGCCCTGCCCAAGCCAAAAGGAAGAGAGGGAAGGAGCAGGGCACAGCCCGTTTTGAACTTGAAGCCTTTACCCCAAGTGCTTCTCTTGCCTGGGGCCTCTCCCTGTGCCCCGACCACCCAGCACTCCTTCCTGCTGCCACTCCACACCCTCAGGCTACAGCATCAGGCTTGAGCACATGTCTGGCATTTTCTTAATAAACCTGGCCATTTTCTATAAGCTCAATGGCTTCAAGAATACAAATCCTGTCTCCTCAATTAAACTGTAAAACCCTGGCGGCCCAGCGGCTGCAGACGCAGAGGAGCACTGCAGAGGGTAAGCTCTAACCAAACTCAGAATGTGATTACAGCCGACGCGCCTTTGTGTTCTGCCAGTGCCGAGCACTCGCCAAATCGATGAATACATAAGTGAGGACGGGCAAGCAAATCCTTAAGAAGGGACTACCTGCCCATCAAAATCACAGCGTGTGAATCAGGGAGAAGCCAGGCTTCCGCTAGCAGTCAATGGAAAGAGCCACTCAGCTGTGTGCAAACACACTGCCCAAGGTGCCCAGGGCCTCTGTCCTCCAGGAGGAAACTGGAGAGGGCGAATGATCCCATCCTGCCCCTGTGGTCCATGCCATCTACCTGGACAGGCCCTGATGCAATTACTTTCCTTGGTCTCCTCTTGTTCTAACCTAGACCACACCACCACCTCCTCATGCTTAGCTGTCCAGAACAGTCCCTGCCTGGTCTCCTACTCCCCCACCACAAAGAGATTAGGTCACGTGACTAACCTCCTTCTGGTTCCGGCTTAAAATGTTTTAATGGCTTCCTATCCTAGAAAATTCACACTGCTCATCTTGACTCTGAAGGCCTTTCCTGACTCAGCTCTGAAGCTCCTCTCACTTCATCTCATTGTGGTCCTCCTGTGATCGCTGAGTTTCAGTCCCACCCACCTTTCTTCTCTTCTAACAAGCCAAACTCAATCCTGCCTCCCAACCTTTGCTCTTAGCGTTCCCTGTCTAGAAAGCTCTTTGTCCTGATGGAAATCAAAGTGCCTGGCTTGGGTCAGATCTTAGCTCAAGGGTCTTCCTTTCAGTGCCGACTTGCCAGTCAAAAGTTGTTCCTAACCTGTCATGAACACATTCCCTTGTTATAATTTCTTCATTACCATCTGAAATTCTTTCTTATTTGCCAGCTTTTTTTCTTGCAACTCACATGCCAGAACTATGAGAATGGAGACTTGGTCTTGCAAATCATGAAGCCCCAACACCTACAGAGAGACTAGCAAAAGCTGGTGCTCAAAAGACTTGTTCTGGATGAAGCCCAGTCCTTCATGAACCTACCCTCCAGACCCCAGCAGGTGCTGCTGGAAATCTAGGTTTCCAAATGAAAAGTCTTGAGGACCCACTGCTGTGATGCAGCACGTTAAGCCTCTGCCTTCAATGCCAAGATCCCATCTGAATGCCATTTAGAGTTGTGGCTATTTGAGGAGTGAAGCAATGGAGGGAAGACTTCTCCCTCTAATTCTGTCTTTCAAAAAATTAAATAAACCTTAAAAAAAAAGGGGGGGGAGGCAATACACATTCAGGTAAAGACTTATTTCTCACATCACTGAGCCAACATTTGGGCTACTAACCTGGGAGAAAATAAAATCTCTTCTTTCAGCAACTCTCCCCTGACTGTATTTGAGACACCCTCTACACTCCTCCCTTGCTCCCATCCCTGCCTGGAGACGAGGCCTGCCCAGTTACCCAGGAAGTTGAAGGCGATGGAAACGCTGAGCTGGAAAAGCTGCTGAAGCGAAATGGCAGCCTCCTCGAGCGGAAGGGCTTTGGGTGGCTCCTGCTCCTGGAGAAGGAACACAAACACCAATCACGGGAGGGCTCAAGGAGACTGCCACCTGCCAGGAGAAGGCTAGGGCTTTGGGTGGCCAGTGTGGTGAGTACCTTCTTCTTTCCCAGGGGCTGAGGCTGGGCTGCTTTCGTCTGGGAGTGCAAGTTGGCATGGAGGAATCCCAGATCACCGGCACCTGCAAGGCAAAGGGCAGCACCCATCCAGGGGAGAGGGGCACGGTTACTTCTCCTCTCCCACTCACCCTTCTCCCCAGCACCTTAATCCTCATGGGAATGGGGTAACTCCCTTAGCTGGGAACTCTCAGCCTCCACTGCCCACCAGTCCCACTCCTCTGCCTGCACCTCCTGCCAGTTCCAGGCAGGCAAGACCTACCTTCCTCAGAGAAGTCCTGATGGCTGTCTTTCTCCGAGGGGCTGTGTGAGAGGCCACTGTGGGACTGAATCAAGGGCTCTTCAGGGCCCTGCCTGGGTCCCCTGCGGCCAGGATGCCCAGGAGCAGGACTATGCGGGAGGGGGAGAATGTGTCTCCGCAGTGCTGGAAAGAGCCAGTGTATGTGGGCAGGTCAGCAAGGCTTCAGTGTGTGGCCTGCTCACCCTCCCCAAGGTTTTGGGCACCAGGGAAAGAACATCAAAACCATGAGACATTTCTTGCATGCTTTTCCTCCTCCCCGACTGCTTCAGTGTGCTGCCTTCCATGGTGCTCTCCAGGGATTGCAGCATGGTGAGAAGTGCTAACCTGCCCTGCTGAGCCTAAGGCCCTCCTCTGTTGCAACTCCTGCAGTGGCCTGAGACATCACCCTCTCCATGCTGGAGCCCCAGCACCCAGCACTCGTCTAACGACAAGTCAGGATCTTAAGAGTAATCATGACAAGAACGTAAACTGACTGTTGCTGAGCACTTACTAGATCCCAGGCACTAAGTCCCTGTGAATGAGCATTCACTCATTTCCTCCTCCAGAGATCTGGGGTGTGAGGTTTTACTACCACTCTACCTTGTAGAAAGTATCAAGGCACAAGGAAGTTAAAAGGGACTCCTCTGGGGCTAGTGTTGTAGCATCACGGGTTAAGCCACAATCCACAGGGCCAGTATTCCCCACGGGCACACGTTTGAGTCCCACCTGCTCCACTTCCCATTGAGCTCCCTGCTTACTGTGCTTGGGAATGCAGCTGAAAACAGCCCAAGTCCCTGGGCCCTTGCTTTCATATGGAAAAACAGTAAGAAACTCTTGGTTCCTGGCTCTGTCCTGGCCCAGTCCCTGCTGTTTCAGCCAATTAGAGAGTTAACTAGCGGATGGAAGATCTCTGTTTCTTCTTCTAACTCTGTCTTTCAAATAAGTCTTAAAAAAAAAAAAGTGGGGGCCCCAGTGTGGTATCCTGGTGGCTAAATTTTCACTTTCCATGTGCCAGGATCCCATATGGGTGCCGATTTGTATCCTGGCTACTCCACTCCCCTTCCAGCTCCCTGCTTGTAGCCTTGGAAAGTAGTAGAGGACAGCTCAAAGCCTTGGGACCCTGCACCCACGTGGGAGACCCAGAAGAAGTTCCTAACTCCTGGCTTCAGATCAGCTCAGCTCCGACTGTTACGGTCACTTGAGAGTGAACCAGCAGATAGAAAACCTTTCTCTTTGTCTCTCCTTCTCTCTGTAAATCTGACTTGCCAACAAAAATAAATAAATCTTTTTTTTAAAAAGTGACTTATTCAGAGACACAGACCTGAAAATATACACGCGGGGCTTAAATTCCTACCGTGTGACTCCAGAGTCTTAACTATTGTCAATGTACCATGATAGACTAGGTCTCCAACAAAAATTTATGCAGTGCTGAATGACTGAAAGAGTGACCAGAAAATGACCAACTGACTAAGGGTTAAGCAGGAAGCCACACCCAGTAGCTACAGTAGCTCTGGGACCTGTGGGGCTCCCACCAGGACAGCTGACAGCAGCGCGAGAAAGGACACTGAGGGCCAGGTGTGGCTACCCGCTGGGTGGACAGCACTTGTCCATGTTCTCCTTCCTCTGACTTCAGATAGGAAAGGCCAGGAACTGCTGATGGCTCGTTTCCTGGGGTGTGTCCTGAGATGCTTCCTGGCCTGGAGATGCGCCCAGTCTACCCCTTTTGCCCCAGGACCCAGAACTCACAGAAGTGTGGCGGCCACTGGGGAGATGAGAGGAAACGGTCCAGCGGACTGCGCCAAGAGCAGTGTTCCAGTTGCCACGGTCCTACTGGCAGGGATGCTTGGAAATGGAGCTGCCGTGCCAGCTGCAGGGCCAACACGGCCAGCGTGCCCTAGGGAAAACAGCACCTTGGGTATAGGTTCTGCCACTCAGCAATGGCCCCAGATCTGGTCTTCATTTCAAAGACTATGTCCTCCGGCAGCATTCCCTGGCTCTTGGCTGGGGCAGCTCCTTAGCATATACTCTCAGAGCACCCAGACTCCTCCCTAAAGCCCTGACCACATCATACTTAATCAATCATTTCTACAATCACTCATCGGAGGTCTGTCATTCCTGTAGTTGCTAAACATGATCAGGGCAGGAACTGTGTAGGCTTTGCTCAATGGTATCCTCCTGGTGCCCAACCCAGGACCAAGATATAGCAGGCGCCTAATAAATGTGCACTGAATAAATGCCTGGGTGAGGGGCTGAGTACACAAAGTCCAGGCAGGCACCAAGACCAACAGCAAGTTGGGACTCAACCACGTGTGCGGCCATGGTCTGAGTTCCCCAACAGAGAACTGCAGGCTGACAAACCAAGCCCCCCCCCCCACACACACACTTACACACACACACACACTAAAAGGTATAGGTGTGCTGAGGTAGGCACGAGAACCTGAGCCAGCTCTTATCCAACTGACTTTTCCAGGAAGGGACATCAGATACTCACTTTTTACAACAGGCACTGTTTTCAAAAGACAAATCAGACAGACATGGTTTCTGCCTGCCTGAAGTTCACAGATAGCATTGAGAAAGACAAATCCCAAACACAGAGAGAAATAAACAGTAATTGTTGCTATGGTTCATATATGATTCAGCTCAGGAACTCATGCAGGACTTCAGTCCCCAAAGTTTTACATAAATGTTTTCTAGGAGGTTGGAAACCTAAATGCCAAGGCCCACATTGTGGTATAGCACATTAAGCCACTGTCAGGGATGCCAGCATCCCAATGAGGGCACTGATTCAAGTCTAGGTGGCTCCATTTTCAATCCAGCACCCTGCAAAAGCACTTGGAAAGGCAACAGAGGATGTCTGAGGTGCTTAGACCACTGCCGCCCACATGGGAGACCAGCAAGTAGCTCCTGGTTTTGGCCTGGCACAGCCCCAGCCATTGTGGCCATTAGAGGAGTAAACCAGGCTCGCTCGTGTTCCCTCTCTCTCTCTCTCCAATTTTGACTTTCAAATAAATAAATACACAAACAAATCCTATGGGCAGGGAAGGAACACCTGGTATTCACTAAGGAACATATAACTTCATGAAACTGACTCAAAAGTATTTACCGATTAATTATTACAAGCCAAACTCGGCTAGCTACTTTTAAAAGCCAAACCATGTGGAACAACCAAGCTGTATCGCCTAATTCCAGATTTAACAGCTGTGTGACCTTACGCACATTAGCTATTATTTCAGAGTGTGAGTTTTTTCATCTATAAAAGGAAGGTAGTGTTGAACTACATCCCGAGATGGCTGCATCTCAAGAAAGAGTGCCTAGTCACGTTATGGATACTCCACAGATGATGACTTGAGCTTGGCCCCTACCTCCCACAAGGAAAATTGGTCCTGGCTTCAACACAGCCCAGCCCAGGATGGCAGGTATTCTGAGGGGTGACCCATTAAATGGAAGATACATATCTGCCTTTCAATCAAATGAATATAAATATTTCTTTTTAAAAAGATTTACTAATTTTTATTGGAAAGGCAAGCCTACAGAGGGAGAAGAGAGAGAAAGAGCTTACATCTGTTATTTCATTTCGCAAAAGGCCCTGTAGCAGTGAGAGCTGACTGATGTGAAGCCAGGAGCTTCTTCCAGGACTCCCACATGCATACAGGTTCCTAAGGCTTTGAGCCATTCTCTACTGTCTTCCCAGACCACAAGCAGAGACCTGGATAGGAAGTGGAGCAACCAGGGCACAACTCAGTGCCCATATGGGATCCTGGAGCTAGCAAGGTGAAGATTTAGCCATGAAGCCACTGTACCAAACCCTAAACATTTCTTTCAAATGAAGATTATGAAGGGTTAACATTGTGTTACAGCAGGTTAAGCTGCCACCTGTGAGGTCAACATCCCATTTCGCAAGTTTGGGTTGCCAGTTTGGGTTGCAGTTGTTGCATTTCTGATTCACCTCCCTGCTAATGTACCTGGGAAAGCAGTCAAAGACGGCCTGAGTGCTTGGGCCACCTGCAAACGAGAACTAGATGTAGCTCTAGCTTCCTGCCTTTGGCCTGGCCCAGCCATGGCTGCTGTGGACACTTTGGGAAATGAACTACCGACACATCATTTTTTTCTCTGTGACTCTGCTTTTCAAATAAATAAATATGTTAAAATAAATACATAAATAAAACAAGGGACTAGTGTTATGACTCAAATGCCTAGTCTACCTCCTGGAAGTACCAACATCTCATGTTTGTATCCTGAGTGCTCTACTTCCCATCCAGCTCCCTGCTTATGGCTTGGGAAACCAGTGGAGGACAGCCCAAAACCTTAGGACCCTGCACCCCCATCGGAGATATGGAAGAAGCTCCTGGCTCCTAGCTTCAGATTAGCTCAGTTCCAGCCACTGCAGCCATTTGGGGAGTGAACCAGTGTGTGGAAAATCTTTCTCTGTCTCTCCTTCTTTGTGTATATTTGCATTTCCAATAGAAATGAATAAATCTTTAAAAAAATATATATATTTTTTCCTTTCCTTGCAAGATTTTTACAAGGATTAAGCAATATAATACAAGCATAATACTTAACATGAATAACTAATGCTATTTATTAGCTATTTATTATAAGATTCACAGAAACAAGAATTAGATCTTCCTTGTTCTCTGCCATGTCCCCAGTGCCTAGCAAAAACACCTAACTCAGGGGTGTTGTTAAAGTTTTACTAAGTGGGTAAGTGTGGTAGCCTAGTGGCTAAAGTCTTTACCTTGTATGCGCCAGGATCCCATATTGTCACTGGTTCTAATCACGGCAGCCCCTCTTCCCATCCACCTTCCTGCTTATGACCTGGGAAGCAGTAGAAGACAGCCCAAAGCCTTAGGATCCTGTACCCACACGGGAGACCCGGAAGAAGCTTCTGGCTCCTGGCTTTGGATCGACTCAGCTCTGGCCATTGGGATGTGGGCAACCCAAGTGGTGGTTTAACCTCCTGCCTGCCCCAGGATCATTCTAATTCACAGTGAAAGTCAAGAACAAAGTCAGAGAAGTCTTACCCACGATACAGCATCCCAAAGGGTGTTGGGGGAGACACGAGCAGACATCCAGTGGAATGCTTCCTTCCAGCCATGATTCCTTGGACCCTTGCTGGTGCCTGAGCCACGGGGGCCTGACCTAGATAATGCAATGAGGGGTTGTTCAGTTTTGTCCCAAGTGGGAACAAAGAGAAGTCAGGAGGGGGGAAGAATGATGGCACAGCCACGTCTTACCTCTGAAAGTTGGGCTCAGGGACCAGCAGTGCGGAGGAGGCTGCCTGAGGGTCAGTGGGGCTGGTGGGCTTAGGGGTTACACCCCAGAGGTCAGGTCCCAGTAGACGGGGAAGAGCTGCACAGTGTGACAAGGATCAGTCACCTCAACAGGAACAGGACTCAGGCAAAGGTGGCCCCAACAACCTCCCCTCCGACCTGCACCGGAGTCTTGCCTGGAAAGCAGGCAGTACTGGCATCCTCCTCTTCAAGGCTCTTGAACTTGTGGAAGTCTTTGCCCAGTACAGATGCTAGAGCCACCCAGGACCAATTAGCCAGGATCTCTCAGCATAGAGCACCCACATCTCGGTAAAGTTTCCCCCACGTGATTCTGATGCCCTCCTGTGGCTGGCAACCGCTGTTCTACGACCACATATTCATACACTCTCCACCCAATACTTGGAGCAGAGCCTGAACGCTGCAGCATCTTACTACTCCCTTCATCCCTAGTTCACGTAGCACCCTCTCTACGACTGACTCCGCCCTCTCCCAATAGCTCCACCCACGTCCTCAGGCTCCAACCACCCCCCTGTAAGTGGATTCTAGCCTGCAGCTCCGCCCCCATCGGATGCCCCGCCCCACTGCCCTAGCCCCGCCCACCATCGTTGCAACTTTTTCCTCAGGCCCTGGTTTCTGTGCAGTGTGGGCAGGCTCTGCAGCTTCGCCAACCCTACTCCCCTTACCTCGGCCCAGGAGTCCCTTCAGCCGCCACATGTTGTCACCAGCACCATGGGGCGCTTTGCAGCCCAAGCAGCGCGGCCAAGCCGCGGGGCAGCGAGTGCAGCGGCCGCCGTGGTGTCCCCAGCGGCCGAGTCTCCAGGGCAGCTCACAAGGCAGCCAATTAGAAAGCAGCGCGGCCGGAAGGACGGCGCTCGGCGAGAGGAAGTGCTGGCGGTGGGCGTCCTCGGGGCGGGCAGCTGCCCTTTGCGTCCCCGAAGGAGCGTGCAGGGGCGGGCGCCCCGGAAGTGACTCGGGGGTGCCAGAGAGTCCTGAAGGCGCCGCGGGGGCGGCCGGGAGAGGTGGGCTGGGGGTTTTTTAAAAAACGTTAGGCAGATATCCTCGCTGCTCTGTGCGCCGCGACCGGGCCCGCTGCGGTAGACGGGGCCCTGCACTTCCAAATCTGACAGACCGAGACTGCCTGAGAAGAGACTCCCTGACCCACCAACCCTCAGAGACCTCCACGTCAGCCCCAGCGCGTGGCGTTTTGTGGAGTTCTTTCACTCCATTTGCACCCAAGTTCATTTTAAGTGGGCTAGCTTCCTTCTTCTCCTGCCAGGTGTGTGGCTTTTGGGTGAATGGAAGTTTCTGCCGGGGGAGCTAAACAGTGGGGTGAGACCCAGGCACGCAGGCTGAACGTTGTATTCATCGTTAAGAGAATTTTTGGGCCATATGTCAGTCACCATCGTAGAGTCTGAGACGACAGATGAATCCAGAACATTTGTGGCCTCCAGGAACACGTAGTGCACAGGCTCCCGAGTCCCACAAATAGGAAACTTAACTCCTAGCCATGGTATCTTGCGCACTTGGGTTCTCCATCTGTAAAATAGATGGCAGTTGTTGTGAGGCTTAAATCAAATAATTCTTTAAAATCATCTAGCACAATTCCTGGCATGTAGCAAGAACCTAATAAATGTAAGTTGCTTCTCATTATTACAGTGGAGGAGGTGAGTGGGCCAATGTGATAGATAACACCCCCAAAAGAAGCATGAGCCGTGGGTGGTGGGACACTGGTGCATTGAAGCTGGACTATATAAATAAGACTAACAGGTGGATAAGAAAAGCATAGGAAACAAAATAAGGAGGCCGAACATGGGGGTACTGTAGAAACAGCCTTGCTTTGGGCTGTGGGGCAGCCACCTTTCATGTTCCTGTGTGGCTACCTCACAATAAGATACCAAGCACAGGAGCACATGTTCAGCTCCATTTTCTTTTCTTTTCTTTTCTTTCATTTTTTTTTTGAGGTATCTTAGGAGATTTATTCCAGTGGGGCAGCTCCATTTTCCCTCCCAAGACTTCCTGTGCCCGTTCCCTGTGAACCTGTCGGGAGAGTGTCTCAGTTTTTAGGCCTCCGCTCAGTCCCCATTCAGTGAAGCCTGTTGGAGCCCTCCCCTGCTGTCTGCTTTCCCCAATTCCTATACCACTTAACGTCTTACGGCACAGCTCAGCAGTAATTACATGTTGTCCTTTTATTTAATTATGTTACTTAGTGTACATCGAGGCTCCCTAGTTCTCTTCCTCTGGGCAGGGATGATATTTTCCCATTTTCTGTTCCCACATAGGGCTTGACATAGACTTCCCTCTGGAAGAATTGAGCCAAACCAGGTTTGTGAATGGAACTAAACACCTTGCACTGATAGTGATTACAGCCAAGGAGGGCCACCAGACTCAGTTGTGGGATTTACAAATTTGAGAGGAAATATATTCCCACCAATGTGCATTCCTGTCTGGAACTAGTTGAAAGGCTTTGAAGGCAAGGACCAAGTGGCACCCCTGAGAACGTTGCCAGACCACTTGTGGGAGGGGTGGATGGTGAGGACAGCTAGGGTCCTTCCTAGCATAAGCTCACCTGTGCAGCACTGCCCACAGAAGTCCTGTCAGAAATGTTAACTGTGTTCCCTTGGTGTTTTAGATTTACGTCAACTGCCAGGCCCAACCTTCAGGCATCCTCTTCTGCCCCCAAGTTCTGAGCTGTTGGATTATGGCCCACAGTCAAGTGGATTTATTCGCTCTGCGAAGGTAAGTGCACTTGCCTTCATTGGGCACTTGCTGCCCAGTGTCTGAGTAATCACCTCCAGTGTACTCAGGCCATTGTGTACTTGCCACCATGAGTGCACCGGAGGTAGGTTGCTTTTGTTTTTGAAGACATTTTTAAAAAAAAAAATGTATTTATTTGAAAAAATTACATATAGAAAAGATACAGAGAGATCTTCCATGCATTGGTTCACTTTCCAAATAGCAGCAATGTCCAAGGCCAGTCCAGGCCAAAGTCAAGAGCCAGGAGCTTCCTCTAAGTCTCCTACATGAGTGCAAGGGCCCACCTGGGCCATCTTCTGCCACTTTTCCAGGCACATTAGCAGGGAGCTTGATCTTAAGTTAGAGGAACCAGGATTAGAACTAGTGCCATATACATATATTTTTGTATGTTGACACTGCAGGTGGCTGCTTTCTGTATGGTGCCACAGCACTGGCCCCTGTAGACTTTTTTTCAGATTAATTTTTTTTTATTGGAAAGGCAGATATACAGAGAGAAGGAGAGATACAGAGATAAAGGTCTTCTGTCTGCTGATTCACTCCCCAAGTGACTGCAACTGCCAGAGCTGAGTCGATCCTAAGCCAGGAGCCCGGAGCCTCTTCTGGGTCTCCCAAGCAGGTGCAGGGTCCCAAGGCTTTGGATCATCCTTGACTGCTTTCCCAGGTCACAAACAGGGAACTGGATGGGAAGCAGGACTGCTGGGACTTGAACTGGCCCCATATGGGATCCTGGCATGTGCAAGGCAAAGACTTTAGCCACTAGGATACCACGCTGGGCCCCCCATAGACATTCTTAATTTGTATGAATCAAATGCATGAGAGCTTATTTGCTACTAGGACATGTCCTGAGTATACACATATAATACTTTAAAAAAACGGATGTATGTTTGCCTCCACAGAGCAAAATAGTCTAGCAAGCAAAAAAAAAAAAAAAAAAAAAAAAATTAAAATACAGAGAGTTTTCTTTCTTTATTGCAACATCACAGATACTCCAAAATGTTGTGGCTGAAGACAGCTGTTATGTCTCACAGTTCTGCAAGCTACCAAGGCTCAGCTGGGCAGTTTTGGTGGTCTCACCTGTGGGCAGACAGATGGTGCCTGTAGCTGGAGTTGTGAACACTTAGCTAGGTATTGGAAAAGCTGGGCCTGTCTCCAAGAGCCTCTGCTCCCCAGAGCCTCTCTGTATAGGAGCTGACCTCACAAGTGTCTCTGAGCTTCCATAAGCACAAGAGTGGAGGTGCTCTAGACCTACACAGAATCACTTCTGCATGTTGTTGGTTAACACAATCCACCGTCCAGGCAGAAATCACTGTGAGAGGGAACTGCTCAAGGTCTTGAGTATTGGCAAGAGTGGTTCACTGGGGTCGAACAAGTGCTCGGGTGGGGAAATATAGAGCTGTGGGAACACCATGGGGAAAGGCCCACAAGCTAGGCCTGGAATTCAGGAGGACTTAGAAGCAGTGGCATCAGCATTGACAAAGCTGAGTAAAGAGGTTTAGGAACCAGCTAGGTAAAGAAGGGAAAGGGGAAGCCCAGTTCAGGATGGAGAGGCAGAGTACAATTTATGATTACTATAGCTGCAGCCTGAGGGTGGTCAGGACCTATGAGATGGTCATGGGTCTCCAATCTCCGGGGGGTATAGGTGGGGCCAACTGATAAAGACCTGTAAGCCCTCTAGATGTCTGGACTCAGCTGTGAGGGCCTGGGACTGCTGGGAAAGGTTGCAGCCAGGCAGTGATGAGCCAGAGAGATCCAACAAATGGTGCAAACTGCTATGTTGGAATAGAGGGGAGGGAAACAAACCCCTACTCTTATTCTGTCTCTTCAAAGCCAGTGACCTCACCTCACCCAGCCAGTGCTAAGCCACCACCCTCAGCATAGCTCCCAGTTCTTTTTGCTTTGTGTTAGGAGAAACTTTTATTATAACAGTAAGCAGACCCCTTGTATAGATATTTGTTTATTTAAATATATATATATATGCCACCAAAAGCCTCCTGGTAGGGTGTGGGGTTGGTCAGGTGCTCAGCAGTTTATACTTGAGTGTGAAGTGTGATATGGAAGAGCCTGCTGGCTGGGAACATGCCAGACTCTGGTGGACTTGACCCCTAAGATGAAAGAGAACATGAAATGGAAATTATCTTTTCATTATCCGGAGTGCTTCTGCCCCAGGCAAAAGTCAAGGAGTCCTAAAAGACTCATCTCAAACAGATACCTGTCCTGGGCTCTTTACACTCTAGTCCCCCTGCCTAGAGGACCACAATTTCAACTCTGAACTGCCACAGCACAACACCGAAGGGCAGGCACACTGCAGTTGGGTTATCTGGCATCCAGCAAAGCTCTTGCACTTGTCAGCCTTGTTACCCTGGTCAAGGTTGTGATGGTCCCTCCTCCTCAGTTCTTCATCTCTGAAATGGGGATTACACTGTTCTCATACAATAGCACATTGAAATGACCAGACACATGGTCCATAAATAGTAGCCATCTCGGATGTTGAGGAGTCTGACTTGAGAGCGGCTGTGTGTCAACTTGAATGTTGGTTGCACCCTGGAAAAATGAATGATCATGATTTAGAGGAAATGACAAAGACATAGGCTCAGTTGGAGAGATCTGTCTCTTCCTTTTGTTCTAAGACCACACTATGTTCTTGGTTCCATTCCCTTTCTGTCTTCTAGTAGTGTGTCTCTATAATTATCTGGATACTCATGCCAAAGCACACATCCCACTGTGAGCTTCCCTCACTTGGACTGTGGAATATACACAGGCCTTTCCTATCACGGGGGAAGATCCTTTACCTGATCCTCCTGCCCTTTTCAGCTGCCCATTCTGTTCGTTCCTCTACTTCCAGAGTTCTTAATTAATGCACACGCTGCCTCCCATTTCTGCAGGACTCCCTTTTTTGCCCTTCCTCCCAGCTGCCAGCCCTGCTCATCTGACACCAGGGTCACCAGGCTCAGGCAAGCACACCTCATTAACCAGCGGTGGGCCTTTGCTCAGTCAAACTCCTTGACCTGGAGCACTTGACTCAGCTGACCATCCATCCCTGGACTCTTCCACACACACAACACCTTATCATCCTGCCTCCGACCTTCTATTGACCATTCCCTGTAAGAAGCCATGAACTCAAACAGACCTCTCCTGTCTGGCGTCCCTTGCTCACTTCCTGGTTGAATTTCTGATTCTGTCTTTGCCTTTTTCCCTTTCTAAACCCCAGTACCAGCCCCGCCCACCCTTCCATTCTCTATTGTTGTCTGGGAATCCCTTCTGGGTTGATAAACTCCTAAACGAGAGTACAGTGGTTAAGACCTTGGGTTCTGGAGTCCTAATGTCCTAGGTTGGAATTCCCCACTGCTTTCTAGTTGGGTGAACTTGGGAAAGTTGCTGGAATTTCTTGTGCCTCCATTGCCTTTTTGTGAAATGGAGCATACCGTGCCTGACCCACAGAAAGGACTTAATAAATGGTGACAGTTGTTAGCCTTAACCCATGTCCTGTTTCCTGAGTTCCTATCCCAATAGACTTTTTCATTGCTTTCTTGTGGCAAGTTCAGTTCCTTCATCAGAATTCCCCAAGTATGGGTAGACGATGTTGCTTGCTGGGAGCTGACAAAGATGGGTGGTTTCCTGGAGCTCTTAAAGGCACCCCTAGGGCCCGGTGCGGTGGCGCAGTGGTTAAGGTCCTCGCCCTGAACGCCCCGGGGATCCCATATGGGCGCCGGTTCTATCCCGGCAGCCCCGCCTCCCTTCCAGCTCCCCGCCTGTGGCCCAGGAAAGCCATCGAGGACAGCCCAAGGCTTTGGGACCCTGCACCTGTGTGGGAGACCCGGAAGAGGCTCCTGGCTTCAGATCGGCGTAGTATCGGCCGTTGCGCTCACTTGGGGAGTGAATCATCGGACAGAAGATCTTCTTCTCTGTCTCTCCTCTCTGTGTATCTGCCTTTCAATAAAAAACAAAATAATAAAAAATAAATCTTTAAAGAAAAAAAAGGCACCCCTAACTGATCTCAGCCAGGCCTCAGCAGAGAAGACTTAAGGAACAGTCCCACTGCCACCCATGGCCCTATGCTGGCTGACTCTTGGGACTCAGGAGCAGGCAGAGCTGCCAGGAAGTGCACAAATGACAGACATGAACCCAGCCTGTGAAACAAAGCTCTGGGTAAAGAGGAGAGAAAAGGTGGCAGGGATCCTGGAGCCTCCAGGTGGCTGTGAAAGGTGAGAGGACAGCAACATAGGGCGGCAAGCAGCTCAGATAGGGGCTGCCTTCAAGGTGGACACTCCTGTTTGTAGCTAAGCCATTGTGGGTTCCCCTTTGCCACCCTCATGTACCAGCTCAGCTTCAGAGCAGGAGGTGTAGCCTTCTGTCCCTCAGCTCCACTATCCTCACCTCCCCTCTGCTCCTGGGGGCTGGCATTCCTGCTGGGAATGCTACTCTTTCCTCAGCACAGAACTGCTCATCTGGGCAAGGAGAAAACCTTTGCTTGGCAGCAACATGGCCAAGTAGCTGTGGGCTGTGGTCCTGGGTCAGAATGCCCTCATGTGAATCTTACAGGAGGAATGGTAACCTCTTTTTTTTTTTTTTTAAAGAAAGATTGATTAATCTGAAAGGCAGAGTTAGAGAGAGAATCTTCCATCTGCTGGTTCACTTCCCAAATAGTTACAACAGCTAAAGCTGGACTGATTTGAAGTCAGAAGCCAGAAGATTCTTCGAGTTCTCTTACAGGGGTAGCAGAGGCCCAAGGACTTGAGCCATACTTGGCTGCTTTCCCAAGCACATTAGCAGGGAGCTGGATTGGAAGTAGAGCAGCCAGGACTAGCACCCATGTGGGATGCTATTGTTGCAGGTGGCAGCTTTAGCCATCACCTTCTTGATGCTTCATCATAGACCTGCCTGATCGTTGTCCGTTTTAGTGAGACTATGCAGAGCCCTGCCTGGTCTACCTGTAGCCTGGAGCTGAGCGCTTTGTCCTTGCAGGAACAGCTAGCTCCATCCCA